CTCAGCATCTGGAGTGGAGTCCTGACAGAGGGAAGCCTGGGAACAGAGGTGCTCCCCCATTCAGGAAGTTCCTAGCTTCCTGGAGGGTGGTGGGCTGCCCAGAACCTGGGGGGAGTCCAGGAGAGATGAAGTTGAGGTGCCAATTAGAGGTGGCCAGGGAGGGACAGTACAGGGGAAAGGGGAGCCGTGGGTTTCTGCTCAGAGGGGTTGAGTTGCTGGAGGGGCAGGTGCTCTGTTTGGGCCTGTGGGTCGGGGAGGGTGTCTGTGCCCCACTGGAGGGAAGGGTCTAGAGGTGGTTGGGTGTTGGGCCTGGACTTAGGCCATCCCCTTCAATGCTCCAGCTACCCCCTGAGGTAGCAACCTGTTGGCAGTGACACAGCAAGGGTGAGGTGGGCCCGGGTTCCCAACACAGGTCTCTGTTCTCTCCACCCCATGATGCTGGCCAGTTTGTGCCAGGAGGAACAAATGCCAGAAGGTCTGAGTCCCCTTCTGTGGAGGTTCTCAATTCAATTAAGCCAATTAAAGTCTGAAAGATGAAAGAGCACAGAAATGGTGTGTTCCCTTTAGTGCCTACAGACTGTTCTCGGCAGCCAGCCCAGGCCGGAAGCTCCCTTCTGTTCTTGGCCATTTCAGTGATGGCTGCTGTCCTTATTCAGACTGAGGGGCCATCGCCCAGGCTTATGGAGAACCCAGCAGCCAACAGTCACTCGAAATGGGCCTTGTTTTAACTGATGGCTCCTGTCCACCCTGTGGCCTGTTGCATTCATGAAGATGAGGAAGGTTAGGAGGAGCACCCCAGCCCACCCTGCCCTCCAGGAGGCTAATTCCACCGCCATGGCTCCTGAGCTTCTCCTTCGTGAGCCAGGCCCTGTCCCCATCCAGGGCTTCCCACACCAGGAACCATATGTGTCAGAGCCTAAGACCCAGAGAGTGGGAAAGGAGTGCTCCCAGGTCACTGCAGTGCCCAGCAGAGTGGAGGAGTGGGTTGTGGGATTATAGACCCAGCAGCAATCAATCTTAGCTGGAGAACAGGCAGAGTTTCTGGAGAATGTTCCACTTGAATTGCGACTAAGAGGATTCGTAGGAGGTCGGCAGGTGGAACAGGGACAGAAGGGCATACGGTCAGGGCTTGAGCTGGCAGCGTGTGCGGTTGGGGCAGGCGAGGGCAGGAGCAAAGCTAGAAGGCGCCGAGAAGTAGTCTGGCCTTAGCTCCATGGGGATGGGGGTTGAAACGGCAGCGGACTGTGGAAAGAGCCTTCTACAGCAGCAGGATGATGACCAGGTACCCGGCTGAGGGCTATCAGGTGGTAGATGGGACATGGGACTGGCTTGATGGGGGAATGAAGGATCCTGAGGTGGAGGGGGCCAGTATCGCCAGCACCGAGAGGCAGGTATCTGACCCCAGGGCAGTGGCAGTGGGGCAGGAGGGGCCCAGCTACAGGGAGGGGATACAGCTAGGCACCATCAGAAGCCCAGGCCTTGCTCCCCACCCAGTAGCCATATCATGAGTCACTGCAGTCCACTTAGCATCAGCCAGGGGCCACCAGGCCTCGGTAACCTTTCCACTGGCCTCAGGGCAGCCCTGCTTTAAGGAGCAGGCATTTCTATCAGGCCCATGCACCATCTAAGAGCCCACCCAATGGGCCATTCAGTCTGTCACCCTTTGAAGCCCACCGGTGCCAAATGGGTGGGACACCACATGACCTTGGCTTCTGCTCCAAGTGGGTGCAGAGGCCAAAAAGCAACAAAATCGTTCAACTGGCTTCATTTTGGAAAGGCCCTAGGTGGCTCGGTGGAGGACGTGCAGGTGCTCTGTGCAGAGGCCTGCCTGCCTACGAGGGCATCAGAGCCTGGGAACCCTGCTTGTGCTTTCACTGGATGGTGCCCCTCATGCATGGCCCATGCCTGCCTGGAGCCTGGGAAGCCATCTCCCAGGGGGTTTGTGGCTGTTGGTGACTCTGAGGTTGGCTAAAGCCAGTGTCTACACAGATGAGCCAGACTCCATCCCCTCCAGTAGCCAGTAAGCAGGGTGGCTAGGGGACACAGCCTGAACCTGACAGTTGCAGTGAGTTTCTCTAGTGCAGAGTAGCTGGAGCTCAGGGCTGGAGGAAGGAGAGGGAAGGTATTCCCGGCAGGGGCACCATCCTAAGCAAATGTCCTGGGGTGAGGAGGTGAGGCTGTCTGGAGGGGACGAGAAGTGCAGATGGCAGTTAAAAGCTGCCATTGTTGCATTGTGCAGTCAGAGGTAGGGGACCCAGCTGTCCTCTTGTCTCTGACACTTCCCTGGCCAAGACTCAGTTTCCTGCACTGGTGATAGGGAGAGTAATTCGCGCCTCTGCCAGCAAGGTGGCTGGGCCACATGCACATGTCACCTGCTGAAGGAGCTCACTCTGCCTGCTCGTCAAGCCAGGAAAGCCACAGCCCCTCCATCTTCTCCAGGCTTTTGCCCCTCACCGGCCCCTACCCCCTGCCGTCACTCCTTCCAGAGACAGGGATCTAGTCAGTCTTGCTGAGGCCCTGTCCCAGCACACAAGGCCAGCTCCAGGCACATAGGAGAAGCTTGGTCAATATCTGTCAGGTGGCCAACAGAGGAACAGGCAGGGAGAGATGTGTGGGAGGGGGGCAGCATGGCACATTCGCGTGTCCGCCATTTGTTCCCACATCTTCTAGAAGTGAAGGCTGCTCCATGTGGAGAATTAACACTTAGGTGCCCAAACTTTTAAAACATGCATCATTTTGGATGGACATTTTCTTTTTTTTTTTTTTTTATTTCGGCACATTATGGGGGTACAGATTTTAAGGTTTCAATAAATGCCCATTTCCCCCCCTCCCCCCAAAAGTCTGAGTCTCCATCATGACCATCCCCTAGATGGTGCACATCTCACTCATTATGTATGTATATACCCGCCCCCCTCCCACCTGCCCAATACCCTATTACTGTAGTACCTATGTGTCCACTTAGGTGCTGTTCAGTTAATACCAGTTTGCTGGAGAATATATCTGGTGCTTGTTTTTCCATTCTTGGGATACTTCACTTAGTAGTAGTATGGGTTCCAGCTCTAACCAGGAAAATATAAGATGTGCTATATCACCGTTGTTTCTTACAGCTGAATAGTACTCCATGGTATACATATACCACATTTTATTAATCCATTCTTGGATTGATGGGCACTAAAAATATGGAACGCTTCACGAATTTGCGTGTCATCCTTGCGCAGGGGCCATGCTAATCTTCTCTGTATCGTTCCAATTTTAGTATATGTGCTGCCGAAGCGAGCACTGGGTGGACATTTTCTGAAGTGCCTTCTCTGCTCCCAGACCTCATGGGCAGGGACTGCCATAGGTCTGCACACCTTTCTTGTTAGCTGAGGTCTCTGCAGGGGCGCATGTGGGGAATTGCCCATTGTTTGCCAGAGACTCTGGTCTCAGGTGGCACTCACTTTCTGCTCCCGGCACCCACTAGGGGCTTGTAGGATCCAGCCTGATGGGCGTGGACTGAGAGGTGTGGGGCTCTCCTGGCAGCAGAGGCCATGGATTTGGCCATGTCTGCTTTGGCTACCCAAGGGCTTTTCTACCTTTCTTTGGAGCTCTGGGTTATTTGTTTCCACAGGGAGTTCTAGATCAGAGACCTGGATTGGTGGCTAAGTTCTACTTCCCAGAGGCTCCTTCTGAGCTGGGAGCTTCACCAAAGGCGAGGGGTTGGGCCCAACTGAGCCACTTTGTGCTCAGATGCAAGGTCCATGTGCACTGAGACTAGTTCAGTTCCACAAGGACGAGGGGAGCTTAGCACGTGGCCTTGGGGGATGCGCCCACTTACTCGCAGGCCAGGAAGGAGCAGTGGGGAGAGCAGCTGGGGAGGGCCATGGCTAGGCAAGGAAGGACACAGGCCCAGCTGACTCCGTGAGCCCCGCCAGACCTGCAAAGGCTGCAGGAAGAGCTGCCTGGGCACCAGCGGCTCCTCGGATGAGGTGAGGGGTGTTGATATGATGAGGGGGAGCAGTGAGAGGGACGACAACATTGTGATGCTCTGCAGAGGAGAGAGGCAGTGTGGCCTGGCAGTGGGATGGATGCTTCCGGTGTGGGGAGAACTTAGCTCCTTACTTTGTCATCAGGAGGGAAGAAGTAGGGGAGGGGGATGCCATGCTGTGGGGCAGAGTTGCCAGTGACCTGTGGCTGCTTTTGGCTTTCTCCTGTGTGCTGTCCCCTTTCACTCCCTCTGTCCCCTTCCTCTCCCTCTCTCTCTCCCTCCCTTTCTCCATCACACTTTGTCCTTCCCTCCATCCCTCTACCCCTCCCTCATTGCCCTCTCTCCCCCTCCCTTTCCTCCTCCCTCTGGGCCTCCTCTTCCCTTACCCCTGGCCCCCCAGGTACCCTCAGGGCTGCAGAAACCCCTTGCACACTAAGCCTTGACCTGGAGCCCAGCTGGCCCTGCCCATGGCTCGGCCACTCCCTGGAGCCCCTCACAGCCCCGGCCTGAAACTGTGAGCCACTGAGGCCATCCCAGAAGACTGGCAGGAACTTATAGCATATCAGAGGCATGGGGCGAGTCTTAATCAGTCAAGAGCAGGGCGTAAGACGGGGCACACAAGTGAGGAGCTGGTGGTGGACACAGGCGTTCGTGGGAGAATCCAACCATACCAGACACAGCCGTCCACTGATCACTCCCAACCGCCACCCTCCCTTCAGTGTGGGTTCCCAAATGGATCTGGGAGCCCTGAGAGCCTCCATATCCCAGCTGGCCAGTGCTGGTGGCAGCAGGGTCCCAACAGGAGGCACCAACACTTGCTCCTTCCCCACCTGGGCAAGCCCTGCCAGCTCTGAGTGCTCACGGTGGAGCCTGGCAGGGCGTGAGAGCCACTGGCCCAGCCTGGGAGGTGAATTTTGCACTTGGGGAGTCATGTCTCAGACTGAGCAAAGATTTGCAGAGAATGTGCTGGAAGACTAGACCTCAGTTTTGTCCCAACCAAGCCACTGGCTTCTTGTCACCTCCTTCTCCCCAGGTGTCCACACTTAGCTGCTTCCCCACCACCACCACTGTACCTTCCCCAGGCACTGGAACCACGGGTGGCTGCCTGTCCCTAGCTTCGGCTGAGCTGAGATTGCACCTGTGAGAAGGCCCGACAGACAGGATGGGTGACATGGCCAACAGTTCCATCGAGTTCCACCCCAAGCCCCAGCAGCAGCGGGAGGCCCCCCATGCAGGTGGCTTTGGATGCACGCTGGCTGAGCTGCGCTCCCTCATGGAGCTGCGAGGGGCTGAGGCACTGCAGAAGATCCAAGAAGCCTACGGGGACGTTGGCGGGCTCTGTAGGCGGCTGAAGACCTCGCCCACCGAGGGTAAGGCCAGCACTTCTCCCAGCCTTTGGGGTGTCCTCAACACAATCCTTACTGCTGAGGCAGGATGGACTCCAGGGCTCTGTGGCCACTGCAGCAGGTCCCTAGAGGGCTCTGTGAAGAGGATGCCCTGTGACCCCTGCCCGCGCCCCTCCTCCCGGCCACTTCCCATGAGTGGGGGATGCTCCCTGCAAGTGATTGGGCTGTTGTCCTGGACAGGCAGCTGTTCTCTACAGAACAAAAGAAGGGGAGGAAGGAGATGGGAACTCCTCCAGGCACGTGCAAGTAGGGTGGGCCCCAAACTGCATCCCGAGAATGGCTTCTGAGGAATGGGGCAGAGCAGGCAGCCTCCTGTTGATGGAGGAGGAAGACAAAGCCCCTGTCTGCATATTTGGGGGTTCCCTGTGAACTCAGCCCTGTGTCCAGTTGGGGGTTCTGAATAGAGGAAGGGTGCAGGGTTGCAGGGGGCATCTCCCTGGCATGAGGCCATTTGGGCCAAAGCTGAGGCATTGAGGGAGGCCCCAGAGTGCTGATCAGAGGGGCAAGCCTGAGGCAGCGTAGGTGTCACTGCTACAGTGGGCCTCTAGGAAGCCCAGTGAGCATCCTCTAGAAGGATCTGGGGTGGAGGCCTGACTGCCATTTCTGTTCCTGCCTCTCTCCTGGCTGCTGGGGTCTGCTGTGAGGCAGAGCCCACCAGGAAGCTGGGCCCAGCCACAGAGTCCAGGAGCTGGAGTGTTCTGTGACCCAGCTGGCACTTGCCTGGCAGGGGTGCTGGGGTTGTCCCAGCCCTGTGCCAGGCCTGCTCCTCGGCCAGCAAGAGTTGATTTGATCACCAGCTGGTCTCAGTGGCACCTTGGCCCACCTATTCCCTCTGCTCCAATGCCCGGGCATGGCCCCCAGCACCTCTGGCCACCTGCCCTGCCCCCACCCTGCTTGGAGACTGGATACTCTGGCCTCGGCCATCTGTCCTTGGGTGGCGTGTAGGTCAGAGCAGAGGAAGGAGTGGAGAGGGAGGGGGTGCCCCGTGGTCTAGGCCAGGAACACAAGGTGGAGTGGCCTTCCTGGGGTCTGCCTGGGTCTTCCTTGCCTTGTGCTGTGTTGCTAATGCGCCCACGAACACCCTGCCTCACCCGCCACACGCCAGCCGGGTGCAGCGTGCTGTCACGGCAGATGGCTTGGCGCCGGGCCAGAGGATCTCTTTCCTTCCCTCCTCCTTGCCCGCATCCCGAGGACTTGGGCTTGGAGGAGGCTAGCGTGGAGGGCCATTTAGCCACAAGGGCTCTGGCCTCTCCCAGATCAAAGGAAGCAGATAGGCTTCAGCTGGCAACCCTTCCCTCGTCTGTCAGGCCTTGTTAAATATTTAAAATGTCAAGGCCCCTGGGAACCTGCCCGATGCTGCCACAGAGCAGGAGCTCACTCAGGCCTGTGGAGGGGTGGGCACGGAGAAGGGCCAGTGCACAGGTGGGTGGCCCAGTCCCTGACTGGCTTCTGAGCACCTGGGTTCCTGTGGCCACAGTGGAGGGAGCCACCAGGCCTGGGGCTGCTGCCTGAAGAATGAATGACACGAGGACGAGCCCCTCCTCTCTCCAACCGTGGCAGCCTTCAAGATCCTCAAGCTCGAGCTGTCTGGGTGCCAAGAGCAGGTGACTCTGGTTCCCCATATGCCCTCAGCCCAACCACGAGCCTGAGGCAGGCATGGGGTCCTCAACAGGCCTGCTGCCTTGGCCCTAGAGTTCCCCCACACCCACCGCCTCTCACTGCTATTCAGACACAATGTACTCTGGGCCCCGCACCAACCCCCTGGCAAGCTGGGCACACTTGGGCATGCCCAGGAGGCAGGCAGGCACCCCCACGTAGGTACTTTACAGAGGACAGGAGGCCAGGGAGGTGTGTGGGGCATTGCAGGAGGGGGACTTTGTCTTCACATCAGTCCACTCCACCAAGCCTTCGTGGAGAGATCCAAGAAGATTCTAGAAGCCATCCTGAATTTTCCTCCTGTTGGCCAGGAAACCTGGGTCTTAGGCTGAGCCCAGTGGTGGGCTTGCCAGGGGGACCTGGCCCCGACCCCTTCCCTGGCCTGGTCTCCACAGGCGGTCATGGACAGGAGGGGGCTGATTAGCTGGTTTTCCGACACGATATAGTCCTAATCCAATTCCGATGGCATCTGGCCTCTGCTCTGGGCAGGCTGCCCATCTGTGTCCAGGCCAGCCGGCCACCCCCGCCCCCACACCCTGGACCCGGGCCACCCTCAGGCTACTGTGCAGGCGGCACTTGCTTGGAAGCAGAGGGGCTGCAGCTGCCTTTCACCCCCTGTGGTGAGTGCTGCTTCAGCAGCAGCTGTCAGGAACCCCAAGCCCCAGGAAGGCTGAGGCCGCAGGACCGGGCTGTCTGGTGTAGGGCAAGGAGAGAGAAGCCGCAAGGGTGAGTCAAGACCAAGGCAGAGGCTGAAGGAGGGGCACAGAGGGAGCTCCTGGCACATGGCTCAGGCACAGAGGAGACAGACATGCTTGGTTCCATGGGGACCAAGCAGCCCCCCATGCCAAGCGGCTGTGATGGGCTCTGTCCCTCTCCAGGGGCTCTAGGCTAGGACAGCAGAGGGCCTGGGTGTCTGGGAGACTGAGAGTTTGGGTGCGTCCCTAGCACCAACCCCACCTTTCACAGTTCCTGCAGTTCAAAGAGACAGGCCCCAATCCAGAGTGAGCCACAGGCCCTGCGGTTGGGCTCCTGGTCCACAGCCCCCTCTCCTGCTACCTCAGAAGCTGAGATCAAAGTTTCTCTCAGATGCCCAACTGGGGAAGCTGGAGAGACTGTGGGCCTCCAAAAAGAGGCCTTTGGCCCCCTCAGAAACCCCAGCCGACCAGCTGGGCCCAGGCACAATGAGGCTAGGGGGAGAAAGGCAGGGACAGCTGCAGCTCTTCTGGGTGGGGAGGACATGCCAAGGCTGTGCCGGCCACGGGCTTCTGCCTGTCAGTCTTCCCACCTCAGCTGGGCCCTGCCCCGCGCCGCCGCACAGCCCCACAGTTAACGCTTCCTTGCCCCCAGTCATCTTGGGCTGGGTCTCATGTGCCCTCCCAAGCCCACAGAGAGCACCCCAGGGCCTGGCCAGGCCCTTCTGGTCGCTCCTGTCCCTACAGCAGGTGGCAGCTACTCAGGTCCCGGAGCTGCAAGCTGCTATCTGCCCACTAGGGGTCAGTGTGGGGCTGGTCCGTTGGGAGACAAAGAGGCTGTGGAGCACTGCGGGCTGTGGGAGCATGGAGAGGGTGAAGGCTGGCAGCTGAGAACAGGGCCAGGCTTGTAGGCCTGTGGCCTGGATGCCAGTCATACGTGGAAGCTTCCAGTACCTTCAGACATGATGCCTTGGTCCAGGCCAAGGTAAACTGAGAAGCTGAGCCACTTTGTATATGTGGATTCTGAGCCCCACGGAGACCAGGCCCTCACAGGCCAGCTCACCAGCCTTGGTGCAGAGCCCCACGAAGGGAGCCTGACACTCCAGCCCTGCCAGCCATGACAGCTCGCCTGAGGTGAGTGAGTGGCCTCCTGGGCCTCCAAAGCTATGGTCGAGGCCCTCTCAGCCCCTGGGTATTGCATCAAGGTGCCTCATCTGCTTAGGACTCACAGGGACAGACCCATTGGAACTGGCCACCCTACCCTTCACCCTCTTTGTCTTTGGCCTGGGGATGCCATGACATCAGCATGAACCATTGACAATCTCATTAGCCCCAGCCTCCCCACCCCTTGTCCTCAGGGATAACAGGTAACATAATTGGGTAAGGAGGAGTGGTTCTGATTGAGAGGCCAAGGCAATTTGGGGGCTCCTGAGGAAGCTGGTCACCAAATCTGCCACAGTGGCTCTGGGTGTAATTCAAGTCACCATTTAGATGTCAGCCCAGGGGGGTTGGTTCCCTAGGCATAGCTGAGAGTGGGATGTCACATGACACCGTGAGGCCAAGCAAGACCCAGAAAAGGCTGCAAGAACTCTCAGTCCCCACCCTCACTGCTGTGACTTCTGGTTACCCCTTGCCCAGCCTGTGCCCCTCTCTTCTCCTCACATAACATGCCAGTCCCCCTCTTTGGGTCTCTGAACCCAAGAACTTACATTCCCCTGCTAGCTCTCCTGTTCCCTCTCCTCTGCTCCTTCCCTAAGAAACTTCTGGAAAGCAGGCCTCTACTCTTTGTCTCCAGCAGCCACTCCTCTGTCCTCCTCAGCAGCCATTGAGCACCATGGGCTGCTGCACACTTCTGGAGATTCCCGTAGCCTTTGGTCCTGGCCCTGCCCCCCTTCCAGGCTCTTTCCACCCCCACAGGTTACACTGTGTGACCTTGCCAGTCTTTGGGACCAGCTGCCTGTAGGGGTGGGAGTGTGGCCAAGGCCTGGCGGCTGTCCTATTCTCAGGGCATCCATGTCCTGGATGCGTATTCATACCACGCAGACCTGCTCTGAAGAAGATGGAGAGCCCGGATGTTAGGAGCCAGAGAGATCTGTCCCAACAGGAGGAAAAGCCCCTTCAAAGAGGGCCCTGGTCAAGTCTTTGGCATCTGGTTGGAAGCTGGCTCATGTCAAACCCCCTCCCTTGACTGGTGGCCCTCTCACATCTCCATGAAAGTTCCCCTGATACATGTTGTCCCCCAGGGGGCAGGGGGTGGCTGCTCTTTCTCCTGTCTGGTTCCCTCTGCGCCCTCCATCAGCTATCATCACCTTCCTCCAAATCCCCCTCAGAGGTAGTCTGAAGGTAGCATGGGACAGCGCAGAGACTGGGAGAGTAGATGAGGGTGGTGTGTGGCCTCAGGTCAGGTCCCAGCCATAGTTGGGTAGCCTCCGGGGCCTGTTTTCTCATCTGTGTGTCAGGAGGAGGGTGGCAGCCCTTCCTTTGGTGGCAGCCAGAGGGGCCACATGCTCGCTGCACACTCACACCCCCAAGGCTCTGCAGAAAGGCTCACAGCGCCAGGCTTGTGCCGGTGTCACCCTCCTGGAGCTGACAGTCTGGGTGATGCAGACGCTGGCCAGGAGCAGGGCGCCTGGCACGTAAGGCCAGCCAGCCGCACTGTCTCTTTCTGTGCTTCTTGGGCGCCACGCAGGCCTGGCGGACAACACCAATGACTTGGAGAAGCGCAGGCAGATCTATGGGCAGAATTTCATCCCTCCCAAGCAGCCCAAGACCTTCCTTCAGTTGGTGTGGGAGGCCCTGCAAGACGTGACCCTCATCATCCTGGAGGTGGCCGCCATCGTCTCCCTGGGCCTGTCATTCTATGCACCGCCCGGGGAGGAGAGTGAAGGTGAGGGCAGGGGCCTGGCTGGAAGGAAGGGGAGGACTGAGACCTAAGATGAGGAGAGGTTCACAGGATGTCCCAATCCCAGTGGCAGGGCACATGGGCTCACATGACTTCTTCATGTTTTCCTTACCTTGGTTGTCATCACAGCCTGTGGGAACGTGTCAGGTGGGGCGGAAGACGAGGGTGAGGCTGAGGCTGGCTGGATCGAAGGCGCTGCCATCCTGCTGTCTGTCATTTGTGTGGTGCTGGTCACGGCCTTCAACGACTGGAGCAAGGAGAAGCAGTTCCGAGGCCTACAGAGCCGAATTGAGCAGGAGCAGAAGTTCACAGTCATCCGGAACGGGCAGCTCCTTCAGGTCCCTGTGGCCGCACTGGTGGTAGGGGACATTGCCCAGGTCAAGTACGGTGAGTGTGCGAATCTCCACCCACCCTGCCAAGGAAGCCTACTCTCATTTCTGGGAGGGTGGCCCAGAGGAGACACCCCAGTACAGGCTTTGTCCCCAGGGGCATGCATGCCTTCGCCTGCAGGAGGCTGGAGCTAGGGCACATGGGGAGCGTGAGGCAGGGCAGAGAGGGGGAGTTTCAGATGCAGCAGCACTCCAGCAAGCAGGCCGTTCCCACCATGAAGGAGGCAAATGTCCCCATTCCCTGGGAGGTGGATGACACTGTTAGTGTGGGTGGTTCCCCCTAGAAAGGCAGAGGTAGAAGAAAGAGGTCTCCCAAGTTCCTTTCCTGAGTGGCCCATAGGTCAGGTGGGACCTGCCTGGCAGCGGGGGGAGGTGGTGGGGAGAAAGGCTACACACACCCACGGTCTCTGGTCATGGCTGCTGGCCGTCCCTTAGGAGACCTGCTACCTGCTGACGGCGTGCTCATCCAGGGCAATGACCTCAAGCTGGACGAGAGCTCCCTGACAGGGGAGTCGGACCACGTGCGCAAGTCCGCCGACAAAGACCCCATGCTACTCTCAGGTGAGGGCCACCTTCCCAACCAGTCTAGCATAAAGTCGCCTTGAAAGCCGTTTGGCCCAGCACCGAAGTCCAAGCCAGCTTGCCAGGCCAGCCTCAGCCAGGGCCTCCCTAAAAGCCCTTCCAGGTAGGGAGTCTAAGGACTCCACCCACCACAGGGCCTGCCGGTGGCAGTTCTGGCCACAGGGCAAGGCAGTGGGCCTTCTCAGCCCAGGGGGCGCCCTTGGTGCTGTCCAGGAATCCCCAAGAGGAGAGGCTTCCTGGGGATCAGCACAGTGCTACACTCCTCCCACATCCAGAGCCTGCAGAAGACCCATGGGGCAGTGTTCCTCCCCTGAAGGTCCTGACTTAGTCCAGGGTTTATCCCCGTGGGAAAGATAGTGGGAAACAGGACGGGATGGCTAGAGGCCCTAGGTGGGCCCCAAGAATGGTTCTCTGTGCCTCTCGGTGAGCCCCTCTTCCTCTGTGGGCCAGGGAGGGCCTCCAGCATAGACTTCAGGTCAACACTGTCTCTGGTGGCCTCTGGTGCGGAGTCCCTGCTTCTTGTGGGTGCTGAACATGTCTTCCACCAGGAGTGCAAGCTCCCATCTCTCTCTGTGTTGCTCTGCCAGGCACCCATGTTATGGAGGGTTCTGGAAGGATGGTGGTGACGGCCGTCGGTGTGAACTCCCAGACAGGCATAATCTTTACCTTGCTTGGAGCTGGTGGTGAAGAGGAGGAGAAGAAGGATAAGAAAGGTATGGCAACATGGCTACCTGTCGCCACGGCCTGTGCTCAGTAGGAGGCCACCCCCTGTCTTCCGATCCTTCTTGGGGACTGCTCTTCGGAGGTTTCCCCTGGGGAACCAGAAGGCTGGGGTCCCCCCAGTTCTTTATATGAGTAGCTTTCCTTAGACCACTGTCCCCTAAGGCTTTGGGAGCATGTGCCTGGGGTGAAGGACTGTGCCCCGCCTGGACAGGAGCGGGCCAGCACCCACTGAGGTGCCAAGGACCCTAGGCCGCCATGGCAGCCAGGGAAACGGGGGCTGGAAGTCAGAGGCAGAGCCACCCAAGCACGAGGAGGCAGCAGAGCAGGACGAGACTTCTGAAAGGCCATGCGGGGTCAGAGGCTGGGCTGGGGCAGAACAGCATCTGGGGGCTGCCCGCAGTGTGCCCCGCGCCCCCCTTGCTTTGGCCTGGGCTTGCCCGCAGGTGTCTCCTACAGCTGGTACCAGGTAGGAGCAGGTTTCTAGATGTGTGCCCTGAGTGAGAGAGCTCTGCTTCCTGCCTGAAGCTTCCAGCAGCCACTGGGGCTGGTAAGCTGGGGAGGGGTCATCAGCCAAGGTTTGGGTGGGGATAGGTGAGCCTAAGGAAGGCTGGGCCCTGGGCCACCACGAGAAGCTCCCTCCTCCTGGAGGCGATTAGGGAGGAGCTGTGTAAGCTGCTGTTGCCTAGAAGTTTCCATAAGCCCTGCCTCCTGGCAGCCTGGGCCTGTGTCTCCCTGCATGGGTACCTCTGCCACGCAGCCCCCTTCTTTGTCACACCAACACCCTGTCACTGTAGTGAGTGCCCTAGGGGTGCACAGGCCAATAGGCAGGCCCTGGGCCTATCTGGCCCTCTGGGCTGGGCTGGAGTCCTCAGGCCTTTCTCTAGGGAAGCCCAGTTGACCTCACCTGGTGGCCTGGTGGCCTCATCCCCAGCCGGTTGGCAAGGAACCTCTTTCATACCAGACCCTCCAAGGCCCTGTCCCTTGGCCTAATGGAACCTATACTCTCAGTGGCTCCTGCACCTTCTTCCCAGTCTCCTCACCTCCTGCTCTGTCCCTTAAATGCTGGTGTCCTTCCCAAGTTCCCCCTCCTCTTCGAACTTGACCAGACTGAAGTCAAGGGTGGGGAGAACAGTGGGCCAGAGCTGGGGGACATGCCACCACCATGTCAAAAGCAGCAAGGATAAGGAGCACAGGACCCTCAGGGGAAGAGTGAGGGGGCCACCTGCTCTAGGGGAAGGCAGCTGGACAGACAGATGAGGCTTGCCCAGGGGGCAGGCTGCTGAGAGGAGAGACGGCTTAGAGGCTCCTAGGCCCCTCGACTAGAACAGACAGGTGGCTTGCACAGTGGCAGATGAGTCAGCTCAGGATTCTGGAATATTCCTTGGGCTACAGCTCTCTGCTCTCAGGTATTGAGATTGGGGTGTTCCAGGACTGGTCACCCTGTCTATGTACCCAAGTACCTTGTGCTTATGTCTGTCCTCCCTTCCCCCAAGAGACCCATCTCTCTGTCCTGCCTAGGACAGCACTGGAGCCACCCCATCTACCCGGAGAGGGCCTGGCCTTGGGAGAGAGAGAAGGAAACCGTGTTTAACTTGGAAATTAGAGAACTCCATTGAATCCCATGTCCTCTTGTATGGTGTGGCATGTCTTCCCATGAAAGCCGCTTGTAGTCTCTTTACCCCAACCAGGCCCTAACCTTGGCTGTGGGATTCCTCTGTGTGCAGCTAAGAAGCAGGATGGGGCAGTTGCCATGGAAATGCAGCCTCTGAAGAGTGCGGAGGGTGGGGAGATGGAGGAGCGGGAGAAGAAGAAAGCCAATGTGCCCAAGAAGGAGAAGTCAGTCCTTCAGGGGAAGCTCACGAAACTGGCCGTCCAGATCGGGAAAGCAGGTAGGGACTAGGCATTGAGGTCACCAGGCTCCTGCAGGTGAGCTGGAAGGGATGTGGCGCGGGGACAGGCTGGGGCCAGAGATGGCTATCAGGGCCTGGCCCAGTCCTCTCCCGTGCACATAAATTCCAAACCCTCCACTAAGGCCCCAGGGCACACGGATTACTCATGTTACCCCCCGGGCTCCCCACCCCAGGCTTCAGGCTCTGCCTAGGGCACAGTCAAAAGGCAGCCAGCTGGCTGGCACCCTAACTTCTGAGGGTGGGTTGAAGCTTGCTGGTCCTCCCCAGCCATGCTTCTCCTGCCATTTGGGGACTCCAGCAGAGGCCCTCTGGAGCCCCCATGCAAGCAGGCCCCATGCTCACCCTGCAGAGCCACATCCCTGAGCCATTGGGAAAGGCCCTGACCTGGCTCGTATCTCTTCTTCCCTCTTCCTCCCTGCCTCCCTCACCCCCTTCATGCCCCACCCTCTGCGGCAGGGTTGGTGATGTCTGCCATCACCGTCATCATCCTGGTCCTCTACTTTGTGATTGAGACCTTTGTCGTGGATGGCCGGGCATGGCTGGCAGAGTGCACACCAGTCTACGTGCAGTACTTCGTGAAGTTCTTCATCATTGGTGTCACTGTACTGGTTGTGGCTGTCCCAGAGGGCCTGCCTCTTGCTGTCACCATCTCCTTAGCTTACTCTGTCAAGGTAATAATAGCACTTACCGTTGGTACCATTATACAGGCCCAGAAACTGGGATAAGAAGTGGGTAGGCACTGGGGCCACAGTGAGGACTGGGGACAGTTTGGGATCCCACAGAGGAGGGGAGGCGCTGAGCAGGGACCTCAGGGGCGCTTGTTGCTCCAGCAGCACAGATGCCTTCCCCTCCCAGGTTCCTGGGCACAGTGAAATGAGCCAGAAAACAGGTGGGTGGCAGGATAGGCCTGGAGTTTGGCATCTGCAGGATGCAGGCAGGAGGAGCATGTGGGGTGGGGACATGAGGGTGAAGGTAGAGGTGCCAGTGCTGCTTGCAGAGGCTGGAGCAAGGAGGCAATGGGCAGAGTGTGTGGGAGCCAGGCTGGGGTGGGGGAGCCGCAGGGCCAGCGGGCGAATGATAGGGGCTCTGGGTGGGGAGGACCCAGGTGAGCTCCCCTGGGTGGATGAGAGTTTTGAGGTCTTACAGGTCCATGCCCGCAGTTTGCCTGCCACTCTGCAGCCAATCCGTGCAGTGCCTTCCAGCCTTGCTGTCAGCCCGGTGCTGACTGAAGTCCCCAATGAGCTGTTAGTGCCCCACATGGAGCTGGATAAGCAGAGCAGTCACCCCTGATGTCTGTGTTGACCGTCTCTCGCTCCACCCACCTGAGGAGTGAACAACCCAAGCACCCCCACCCTTGTCTGTGCCCTTTGCAGAAAATGATGAAGGACAACAACTTGGTACGCCACCTGGATGCCTGTGAGACCATGGGCAATGCCACGGCCATCTGCTCGGACAAGACAGGCACACTCACCACCAACCGTATGACCGTGGTCCAGTCCTACCTAGGGGACACCCACTACAAAGAGGTTCCAGCCCCCAACGCCTTGACCCCCAAGATCCTTGACCTCCTGGTCCACGCCATCTCCATCAACAGTGCCTACACCACCAAAATACTAGTGAGCCTGGCAGGGGCAGGGCTGGGTGGGCGAGGGGCTCACTAGCCTCCCTTAAGAACTTTTGACCAGTGCCACATGGTCTCTGGGGTGCTGGGCACCCTCCTCCCCATCCTTGACCTGCAAATTCTGGAAGGCCCTTCCAAGCATGGTGAATGATGGGAAGGCTGCCCATCCAGTCCGCACAGGAGTCCTTCCTTTGCTCCCTGCTCCCAACCCCTGAGCCATGAGGGCCCCAGGGGCAGCCGGGGGTGGTCTCTGGAGCCCAGGGCCATGCTGGATCTCCTTGCCCTGCAGCCTCCAGAGAAGGAAGGCGCTCTCCCACGCCAAGTGGGCAATAAGACAGAGTGCGCTCTGCTAGGCTTCGTCTTGGACCTGAAGCGGGATTTCCAGCCCGTGCGCGAGCAGATTCCGGAAGACAAGCTCTACAAAGTGTACACCTTCAACTCGGTCCGCAAGTCCATGAGCACGGCCATCCGCATGCCTGACGGTGGCTTCCGCCTCTTCAGCAAGGGGGCCTCAGAGATCCTGCTCAAAAAGTGAGTGGGTGGCAGGGAGGGGCCAGGGCCACGGCTAGGGGTAGCCAAGGAGTATGTATGCAGTTTCTTTGTTGTCCTGGTGGAATAAACCTGGTGGAATAAATGGTCAGACCATTTTCACCACTTTAAAGTAGACAGTTCAGTGGCATTAAGTACATTCGCAATGTTGAACAGCTGTCACCACCATCCAGTTCCAAAACATGGTTATCACCCTAGAAGAAACCCTATCCCCATTAGCAGTCCTTCCCCATCCCCACCCCAGCATTGGCACCCACTCATCTGCTGTCTGTCCCTAGGCATTGGCCTGTTCCATACATTTCATAGAAATGGAGTCGCACACTATGTGGCCTTTTGTGCCTGGCTTCTTCTTAGTGTAAAGTTTTCAGGGTTCACCCATGTGTCAACACTTCATTGCTTTTTAAGGCTGAATACTATTCCACTGACTGCACAGACCACTTTTTGTTTGTCCATCCGTGGACACTTGAGTTGTTTCCAAACTTTGGCTATTGTCAGTAATGCTGCTGTGAACATGCTTGTGTGACTTTCTGACTGAACACCCATGTATGTCAGTCCTCACAGTTTTGTAGCCAGGAGTAGAATTGCTGGGTCATATGGGAACTCTATGTTTAACTTTTTGAGGCGCCACCAAACTGTTTCTCACGGAGGGGACACCATTCTCCATTGCCACCAGCAACGCACAGAGGCTCCAGTTTTTCACTCTCATCAATACTTACTCTGATACTATGACAATGGTGCCAGCAGTTATCCTAGTGGTTGTGAGGTGGCATCTCATGGTGCTTTTGAGTTGCATTTCCCTGGTGACTAATGACATTGAGCATCTTTTCATGTACTTAGTGGCCATTTGTATGTCTTCTCTGAAGAATTGTCTATTCAAGTCCTTTGCTCGTTTTTGAGTTGCCTTTTCATCGTTGAGTTGTAAGAGGTCTATATGTCCTGGACACTAGGTCCTTATCAGATATGTGACTGGTAAACATTTTCTCCCATTCTGTGGGCTATCTTTCCACTCTCGTGATAGCATCCTTAGATACACATATGCTTTAAAATTGTGATGGAGTCCAGTTGATCTATTTTTTGCTGTTGCTTATGTGGATCTTCCTTTAGAGGTGATGAAAATGTTCTACAATTAGATAGTGGTGATGGGTTGTCCACTTTAAGTGGGCAAGTTGCATGGTGTGTGAACTCTACGTCAATAAAGCTGTTAAAACAAAGAGAGGGAGAACAAGCAGCGTCACCTCCCAGCACCTGGCTTGTCCCTACTCCGTCTGTTTCCTTCTGCCCCAGCCCATTCACACCGGCTCCTTCTTCAGCAGCCTGGCATGAGAGCCCCATTCACTTTTCCCACCTGCCTCTGGGGCCCTCAGCTCCTTTGCTCCCTCCTGTCCCCATATGAATCCACCCAGTCCTGCCCCATCTAATAAGCTCCTGGGGTTATCAGAGCTGCCTTGTCACGTTCCCACTTCATGGTGACAGCTGATTGCTGATGTGCCGCACCCTTGCCCCATCAAGTCCATGGGGAGCTGCCATGGTCTCGCTTGGCATTCCTTGGCTTGCAGTTAAATCTCCCCAATCTGCCTCTCGCTATATGGCCTTCTCCCCACGTCTCTCTGTGTCCTCTCCTCTTTTTACAAGGATACCGTCATTGGCTAACCTCACCCCTAATCCAGCGTGACCATCACTGTTTCCTCTTGTTCTCTCACTGCCTCCGCCTTGCCCCCTACCTAGGTGCACCAACATCTTAAACAGCAATGGTGAACTCCGAGGCTTTCGTCCTCGGGACCGGGATGACATGGTGAAGAAGATCATCGAGCCGATGGCCTGTGATGGCCTCCGCACCATCTGCATCGCCTACCGGGACTTCTCTGCAGGCCAGGAGCCTGACTGGGATGACGAGAACGAGGTCGTGGGCGATCTCACCTGCATAGCTGTCGTGGGCATCGAGGACCCTGTGCGGCCGGAGGTAGATACCCTCTTGTCTGTTAGCGGCCTTGGTCACTGTGTGCTCTGCTGGAGGTTGTCCAGATGGGTGGGAGGCATCTTTTCTCATATCCAGCTTCCACAGTGGGGGTCTGGACACAGAAATCAGGGAGAGGGCACCCCTCCATGCCTCTCCAGAGTCATAGTAGAGAAAGGCTGGGTGTGGCATTGGCGGCAGAGCCTCAGGGATCCTCAGAGGGCGTGGCCGTCCTGCCCCAGATGAGACCCTCCTAGTGCACTTGAGCCTCTTCCTGGATGGTCTCATCCTGGCACCCACACAGAGCCTCTGTCCTGTCCTGCTCCCTCCTGTGTGGCCTATGGGCCCAGCTCAGGCTCTACCTTCTACCAGGTAAGAGAGGGTGGCAGTGGGAGCGATTCCTGCAGGACCAATGGACTGGAGGGGTTTTGGAGCCTGAGTGGTACAGGTCAGGGGCACAGAGTGCGCAGTTCCCAGTTGAGGGTTTGGTTGGGGCCATATGAGGTTCAGGGCCTCCCTGTGGAGGTGTAAAGTGGGCAGGCAGGAGTGGAGAGCTCAAAGCAAAGGTCCTGGCTGGAGAGAGATTCCAGAAGCATCTTTCTATGGGTGAGATCTCCAGGGCAGGCAGCTGTAGCAGAGGCCGACACAAGAGCGGAGCAAGGAGGACAGGTAAGGCCGGTTACGGCCTTGACATCGGGAGGTCATTTTCTTGGTCTTTTTAAAGATGGCAGACCCTCCAGAGGGCGAGAGTGTGGAGGGCAGCAAGCCCAGAGGGAGTGTGAGGCGTGAAGGTGCAGACAGCTGGAAGGAGGGTACATGGGCCATTGTGCTTGGAGACGCAGGATGGCTGCAGCCACAGGGGGGCCCATGGGGCTCTGCCCCAGGGAGTGCAGGTAGCCTGGAACCCAGGCTGAGTTCATGCAGGAGTGGGGACTGTTGGCAACTTCTCCAGCACCCAAATGAGAAAGTGTGTCTCCTGAGGGAGTGTGTCTCCTGAGGGAGAGGTCAGAGAGGTCACCTCTGGAGGTGGGGGCCTTTGCGTCCCCCAGAGCTGTTCAGCCACTGTTTTCAGCTCAGAACTCCTGCTTCTCAAGTTCGTCATGGCCACTTGGTGGCAGCAGAGGGGTGGCCTCCAGATTTTCAGGGACTTGCTCAAAGGGGAGTTGTCTCCTTGCGGCTCATGGTCTTGCTGTCCAGCACCCCAAGATCCTCAAAGAGCAGAAAGTGTCCCTGCACTGGGAGCAAGGACACACGTTCCAGGGTGCAGGTGCAAGCCCCTCACAGCACCTGGGCTCTTGCCGGGCAGTGTTTGCTGAAGGATCATTGGGTCACAGCCTGAAGTGGGGGCCCCCCTCTTCTTGCCTGCACTCTCTCCCTGGCTAAGATCACATTCCCCCACCAGCCTCAGGGGCCACCAGCATGCTGGGGACTCCTAGGTGACTGTCTTCCCTTGGGGTCTCCCAGCTACCCTCCTCAGCCCCTCACTGCCTGGCTCCTACTCCTATACATCCCTCCCACCTGCCTGGGCTCCCTGGGCTATGGGCTGGGCCTGACCTGCTAATCCACTTCAGGAGCTCTGAACCTCCTCTCCCTCGCCGCCCCTCCCCTCCCTATCCCTTCCCCCTCAGTGGCATCATCTGCCCCACCATGTCTCCCTCCACTCTGAGCCTGAAAAACCACGTACCTCCTCATTCATTTAGGAACTGTCCTCCCCATCCCTACATCACTGGACAATGCCACCACCTCCGGGCTGGTCTCTGGGCTTCCCACTCTAACCCCCCTCAGCCTGTTTTCCACTCAGTGCTAGAGGGATCTTTCTCCTTCCGTTGCTCCAGAATCTAACATGATACAGGTGGCTCCCAACTTTCTTTTTTTTTTTTTTTTTTTTGACAGAGTCTCGCTTTGTTGTCCAGAAAGCTTTGAGGAAGAATTCCTTGCCCTTTTCAGTGCCGTGGCGTCAGCCTAGCTCACAGCAACCTCAAACTCCTGGACTTGAGTGATCCTTCTGCCTCAGCCTCCCGAGTAGCTGGGACTACAGGCATGCGCCACCATGCCCGGCTAATTTTTTATATATATATATATCAGTTGGCCAATTAATTTCTTTCTATTTATAGTAGAGACGGGGTCTCGCTCTTGCTCAGGCTGGTTTTGAACTCCTGACCTTGAGCAATCCGCCCGCCTCGGCCTCCCAAGAGCTAGGATTACAGGCGTGAGCCACAGCGCCCGGCCCCTAACTTTCTTAATGACTTGGTGGGCGTCAGTGCGCGTTCAGTCCCTATATGACTATTATTTCCCGCTCAGTAAATCATATGAGATATTCAACACTTTGCCACAAAACAGGCTTTGCATGAGATGATCTCGCACAACTTAGGCTAATGTAAGTGTTCTGAGCGCATTTCAGGCAGGCTGGGCTAAAGCTGTGATATATTAAATATGTTTTCCACTTTTGATATTTTCAACTGACAATGCTTTATCAGGATGTGACCCCACCATAAATTGCGGACATCTGTATTTGAAAACTAAAATGCATGTTGCATAACAAAAACAATGTTCCACTTTCCCTGCCTTATCATGGAAATCTACAGCTCTAATGAAAATAATAATTCTGAGAAAAATATCTTAGGTTCTATATTGTTAAAAAAAAAAAAAAAGAGGCTGGGCACGGTGGCTCACACCTGTAATCCTAGCACTCTGAAAGGCAGAGGTGGGCAGATCGCTCAAGGTGAGGAGTTTGAAACTAACCTGAGCAGGAGCAAGACCTCGTCTCTACTAAAAATAAAGAAATTAATTGGCCAACTAAAAATATATAGGAAAAAAAAATTAGACGGGCGTGGTGGCGCATGCCTGTAGTCCCAGCTACTTGGGAGGCTGAGGCAGGAGGATTGCTTGAGCCCAGGAGTTTGAGATTGCTGTGAGCTAGGCTGACGCCATGGCACTCTAGCCCAGGCAACAGAGCGAGACTCTGTCTCAAAAATAAATAAATAAATAAATGTTTTAAAAATGGAGGCAAGTGAGAGAGGAGCCTCAAGGTTGGCTGCAAGTCAAGTGACTGCCCTGAGTCAGGGCCCTGCTGGCCATCAGGGAGCCAGCACATTGGCTGGGGGCAGGAGGCCCCTGCATTGCTCTTTAGAGCTGACACAGCCACCTTGCCAGCCTGCCAGGTAAGCTGGGTGATCCTGGCACACTCAGGCCCACTGTGGCTAAGCTGTGTGGCAGGACAGCCCCATCATCCTTTGTGCTGCCTTGCATTAGCACCACTGTCACTCTACTGGACCTCGGCCACCCGCAGATCTGAGTGGAAGAAGGGATGCAGCCTAGACTCTACATATGTGTGGCCTTGAGGGCCCCACACACTTCTCTTGTCTCTTCCAGGTCCCTGAAGCTATCCGCAAATGCCAGCGTGCTGGCATCACGGTCCGCATGGTGACTGGGGACAACATCAACACGGCGAGGGCCATCGCGGCCAAGTGCGGCATCATCCAGCCTGGGGAGGACTTCCTGTGCCTGGAGGGGAAGGAGTTCAACCGGCGGATTCGCAATGAGAAAGGCGAGGTAGCTCCCCACTGAGCCCAGACCAGCCCCCCGGCCCCCTGCGCCCCCATCCCAGCACTGCAGCCTCCGTGTGCCTCCCCCAGATAGAGCAGGAGCGGCTGGACAAGGTGTGGCCCAAGCTGAGGGTGCTCGCCCGCTCGTCTCCCACCGACAAGCACACTCTGGTCAAAGGTAAAAGAGCCTCTTGCCCTATCCCTGCTTCTCTGGGTTAAGGGGCTTGAATGGAAAATGCCCAAGCAAGATGGGCCCATAGAGGCTGGCCCCTCATTGTAACAGATGGGGAAACTGAGGCCCTGGAACAGGAGACACTTATCCAAGCCACACAGTGCTGGGCCCCTCCCTTCTACCAAATCACATACTCAGTGTCATCTCCTATTCCCTAAACAAGTGAGCCAATCTCACTGGGTGACAGGGCTGGGGTGGGGGCAGAGGGACAGGGCTATCTCCGGTTAAGGCCTGGGGACTTGACACCACAGGTGACAGGGAACACAGAGTATTGGAACGGTAGCACAGGCAAAATCCCAAAGGGTTTTCAGAGCCAGTCCCAACCCCCCAGCTCCCTGGGCTGGGCCATGCAGGCCTGTGGTGACAGATGGCACCACCCTGCCCTGCCCTCCTCTGTGTTCCAGGGATTATTGATAGCACCACTGGCGAGCAGCGGCAAGTGGTGGCTGTGACCGGGGATGGCACCAATGATGGACCAGCACTCAAGAAGGCAGACGTGGGCTTCGCTATGGTGAGCCATGCGGTGTCAGCCCAGCTCCCCGCAGTGGGTGGGCCTGTGTCCAGCTGGTGGCCATTAGCTATACCAAAAAGTGGGAGCTAGTATTGGGGTGGGCTGCAGAGTGCCAAAAAGTTCTTTCTCTCACATCCTGGCCACTTGGGCCTGTGTGAGCTCTGCCAGTCAGGGGACATGTGTGCCATTTGTTTAAGGTTATTTGGTGTGACCCCCAGGGTGACGGTGGGGCCCAGCCTTACCACAGAGGGGAAGGGGAGCAGCAGGTGGGGAGCCCCTCTCCCCACCCTACCGACAAGGAGCACCCTCCACTGGCCACAGTCAGCACAGCCTCGTCCCTGCACTCATACCCCAGGGGGCTATGAGCACCAAGTTGAGCTTCGCAGGGCTGGCGACTGTCACAGGGCCAGGCCTAGGGCGGGGACAAGGCTGAGCACTTTGCATGGCTGTAGCTGCACTTGCGTCTGAGCGTTGGGGCCAGGATCCTCCTGCAAACGCTGGAGGAAGAAGACAGGTGGACCAAGAAGACAGGTTCTCCCTCGCCCAAGGCATCCCTATCCAGGACTTCCAGAGGCTCCTTAGAGCAAGCCTCTCTAGAGCACCAAGAAGGGACTACAGGCTGCTTGGTGGCCACATGATGACAGCTGGACCTTGTGTGTAAGGCCGTGTTGATATTCATGTTGTCAGCACACTGTGTTATGAGCAAAGCCTCCCTGTGACAACCTGCTGTTCGTAGTGCAAAACACGTTGGATAAACACCAGTGCTATTCTCAGCTGGGGGCCTTATTTGGAAGGGGAGGGCAGGGAACCAGCCCAGGTGGGCTGAGTGATTGAGGAGGAGTGGGCAGGGGCCCCACACAAAATTTGTTTGTGTGTGTCACCCTCCAGGGCATCGCAGGGACTGACGTGGCCAAGGAGGCCTCTGACATCATCCTGACCGATGACAACTTCACCAGCATTGTCAAGGCGGTTATGTGGGGCCGCAACGTCTATGACAGCATCTCTAAGTTCCTGCAGTTCCAGCTGACGGTCAACGTGGTGGCCGTGATCGTAGCCTTCACAGGCGCCTGCATTACTCAGGTGGGCATCGGGAGCTGCTGTGGCCTGACAAGGACAACGGGGCTCCCGCCCAATGACCCACGGGGCCCGCAGGAGGCCACTGGTTTCCAAAGGCGGTGACTGAGGCTGAATTGCCCAGGCCTGAGGGCCACGTTGGGAGAACGAATTTTTTTCTTTGCTGCAGATTTTTTTTTATTGAGATCAAATTCACATACCAAAAAATTAACCATTTTAGAGTACACAATTCAGGGGTGGGGGTAGTATATTTACAATGTTATGCAGCCATCATCTCTATCTAGTTCCAGAACATTCTCTTCAGTCCCAAAGGAAATCCCATCCCCATTAGCAGTTACTCTCTAGCCCCCCTCTCCAGCCCCTGGCAACTGCCAATCTGCATGGGACATCTAATAGCAGTGGGATTGAATAGTGTGTGGCCTTTTGTGTCTGGCATCTCATGTAGCATAGGCTTTCAAGGTCCATCCACATCCTGGCACAGGCAGAATGTCATTGCTTTGACGACCACATCATGCTACATTGTGTGGATGTGTTGCATTCTGTCTATCCATCCAGCAGCTGCTGGGCATGGAGTCATTTCCACTTTTTGGCTGTGGTGACTGGTGCTGCTGGGACATCGTGTATGGGTTTCTGTGTGGACGTGTGTTGTCAGTTGCCCTGGCCCTAGACCTGGTAGTGGAGACGCCAGGTCACATGGGAGCTCTAGGATTCAGCCTTGGTGGAGCCTCCCCCGCCTTTCTCCCCACTGGCGAGTGCCCAGAATTGATTCGTCTCCCTTTAGAGAGGGTTAAGTTTGTTGTCAACAGGTAGTTAAATTACTTACTGATCAATTTGGTCCTTTCAAAGATTTTTTTAAAATTGAGATAAATGTCACATAACATAAACTTCACCATAATAACCATTTTAACCATTTTAAAGTCAATAATTCAGTGGTTTCTAGTACATTCCCAGTGTTGCATAACCATTACTCCATCTACTCCCAGAACATTCTCATCACCCCAAAAGAGGTCCTATCCCCATTAGCAGTCACTGTCTATCCCTGCCCCAGCCCCTGGCAACCACTCATCTGCTTTCTCTCTCTATCGATTTGTCAGTTTTGGAAGTTTCATGGGAATATAATGGTACAATACATGGCCTTATGTGTCTGGCTTCTGGGAGGCTGATTTTTAATGAACAACTCAGAGGAGCTAAGGAGAAGGAAGGTCCAGTTCAGAGTTTCTGCCTCCTTCTGCCCCTTGGGCATAGGGAACAAGAAGAACAGCCCTCATTCTGTCCCAAATCCAGAGCCCCATCGTCGGGCTGTTTCATGGTCTGGGGTTTTTCACCTCCCTTGAAGGTTTTGGAGCACACCTTGTAGATCACTGCCTCCAGCTGCAAGAAGAAGGAGGGTGGCATTGGAAAGCCCAGCAAAAGCCCCTGCTATCCTAAAGACAACACAGGGATGGAGATGTCATGTTTTTATGGACATGAAATTCTGGTGACACTGACCCCGCACTGAGTTTCTCTGAGAGCTGCTGGGTTTCTGGGCCCAGGTCTTCTGGAAGGGTGACTCCCTCCTCTCCACAGGACTCTCCTCTCAAAGCTGTGCAGATGTTGTGGGTGAACTTGATCATGGATACATTTGCCTCCCTGGCCCTGGCGACAGAGCCGCCCACCGAGTCGCTGCTGCTGCGGAAGCCCTATGGCCGGGACAAGCCCCTCATCTCTCGCACCATGATGAAGAACATCCTGGGCCACGCTGTCTACCAGCTCACCATCATATTCACGCTGCTCTTCGTAGGTGGGTGGGCTTAGCATGCTCTGTCGCAGAGGCATGCAGGGGGCCTTTGGGTGGGACTGGCTGGGGAGCGAGGAAGGAGCAGGAGAGCCTCTGACCCTCAGCCCTCCCTCACAGCGGGGAGCAGTTCCAGTATCCTGAGGTCTTGTTCACTACTCAGGCAAAATGTCTCTTCCTCCACCCAGCCCCAGATCCATTCACTCACATACCCCAGGACTGTCTCTCCAGGGACAATGACTGGGGTGCTGTTCTGGGAGCTTTGAGAGGAAGATGAGGGGCAAGAAGGGGGGAAGAGGGAAAGGAGAGAGTAAAGGAGGGGGAAGAGGAGGGAGGGGGGTGTCCTGGCTCCAGGTGAGGGGTCCAGGAGCTCAGGAAGCAGGAAAGGGTGAGGCAGGGGAGAGAAGGAATGGAGGATGGCACCCTAGGAGAAGAATGGGGTCCCCAAGCCCTGGCCACGGCCTTGCAGACCAGCCAGGGTGGGTGGAGGGTTACTCCTCAGAGAAGCAAATCCTCCAGCGCAATGTGGGCCTTTTTGGATGCCTCTGGCCTCTGCCAGCAGGCACCGGTGGTAGCTCTCCTGCAGGGCGGTTTGTCAGTTTGTTTGTGGCCTTATGTCAGTCAGGGACACTCTGTAGTGTCTGGTGACCCTTTGACTGTGTGGTCCCATATCCACATGAGGCCCTTAGAAAGGGCTGGAATCAGGGGGTCACCTGTCACTACCCTCTGGGGCCTAGTGTGGCTCAGCTTTCAGGGTGCATCCCAGGGTGTGCAGGGATAATGTCTGCTGAGGAGCAGGACCCACAGGGGGAGGAGGCCCCCAAATGTCAGTATCTGGGGCTCCTCTGGGGAGCCCTTTCTCTGACCTTTTGGAGCAGAAGGCTCCCATCGCCTGCCCAGGGCCTAAGCCCAGCTGCCCCGTCCCAGGAGCCAGGCAGAGCTAAGAGATTTCCTCTGGCTCGGGTCTGAATGTCCTCATTCCTGCCCTCACAGTTTCAGTGCCAGCACCCTGGGTCCAGCCCCTGGCATGGCAGCGTCTCAGGACTCTGCTTGAGTCTTGGGTCTGGCTTCCTTGGGCCTTGAGCTCGAATATGTCACCCTCTGGGACAAGGGACTCATGTGAGGAGCCACACACTGTTGTCTTGCTCCAGAGTGATGTGGCCTTGGTCACGTGCTGAGACAACTGTGCAGGGAACATTGCGTGGCTCTGCTGGGAGACGCAGGCTGGGCTGTCCCACACAAGCCTCCACTCCCCTCACGGGCGCCCTCGGCTTCCAGGGGAGCTCTTCTTTGACATCGACAGTGGGAGGAACACGCCCCTGCACTCACCGCCCTCAGAGCACTACACCATCATCTTCAATACCTTCGTCATGATGCAGCTCTTCAACGAAATCAACGCCCGCAAGATCCATGGCGAGAGGAACGTGTTCGATGGCATCTTCAGCAACCCCATCTTCTGCACCATCGTCCTGGGCACCTTTGGAATCCAGGTAGGAGGGGTGACCCCACTCTTGGCCCCATGTCTTCCCCCGCAGTGGCCCCCCCTGCCCCTCCTGACTTCTCCTCTCAGCGTTCATCTTCCAAATATCACTGGGCTGTCACTGGGGTTACCTGCTGGCTTCCAGAGGCATTTGGTGGGCCTTCAGCAGAGCTACCTCTTCTCATAGATGCTATAGGTAAGGCCAATAGGGCAGGAAGTGCAAGCCACTGAAAGACAGTTTATTACAGAGCCCAAGAAGAGGATGCATGCCACAGCATGGGGGCCACAGGGAAAGTAGCAGTTAGGAGGCAGGACTGTGTACAGGAGCCTTTACTGGGGCTTCCTCAAGAAGGAATGGGTTAGACAGGAAGCAGGCTCAGGACTGTCAAGTGTGCATCAGTACAGCCTGTCCTGGACCTAAGGGCAGTCCTTATGTGTGAGAGTCTGACAGAGGAGGTGGCTGGGTGTGGGCTCTGGATTGGTTGGTTTGCAGTTGAAGCAAGGAGGCAGGAGGCCAAGGCTGGGTGACTCGAGCATGTGCTGGGGCCTCCAGAATAAGGCATACCTGGCCTTTGCACGCAGGGCAGGGGTCAGTGGGTGCCTAGCCCCAGCAGGGGAGGGGCGCTGCCAAAGGGGCTGCAGCTGCCCCATCCCAGCACCCTTGGCCTCGGGGTCAGCCCATCCGCGAAGCCTTCCTTAGGCACTTGCTGATGGGGGGATGAAGGGAAAGAGGCCGAAGAAAGAATGGCCAGACCCTCTGCCCGAGGGCACCCATCTGCCCCAGGGAACAATAGCCTTCTGACTCCCCCTCAGGATGGCCAGGCCTCCAAGGGGCAGGGCTGGCCTAGAGGATAAGGGGGCAGCCTGGGAGCCGCTGCTGGACCTGCCTTTCCCCACCCATCCTCTGCAGATTGTCATCGTCCAGTTCGGCGGGAAGCCCTTCAGTTGCTCCCCCCTATCCACAGAACAGTGGCTCTGGTGCCTGTTTGTTGGTGTTGGGGAGCTGGTCTGGGGACAGGTGAGTGTCTGCCTGGTCAGCTTTCTCCACCTCGCCCCGCTTCTGGTTTTCTCTGTGGGTGGCACCAGTGATGGCCCCACTGCCCCAACTCCCGCTCCAGGAGAGCGCACCATAGGCTTAGGCCTGTGATGCACCATGACCCAGGATGGCAAGGCCACAAGTGACGGTGTCAGCAGAGAGAATGCAAAGGACAATGGCCAGGATGTCACAGGGCCCCAGAAAACCACCTGCCACTCCCCTTTCCATGATAGGAGCCAAAAAGCACCCCTTCAAACTGAGTGGCTTAGAAAATCCCCACATATTTGAAATTAAACAGCACCTGCTAAATAATCCATAGGGCAAAGAGAAAGTGTTGAGAGAAATTAGGAAATATTATGATCTGATGGAAAGTGACAGAACTACACATCCAGTCCTGTGGGCTGCTGCTGAAGCCACACACAGGGGGAAGTTTATAGACCTGCTAATTAGATCAGGAAGGAACAGCCTGGTACATGAGAGGCCTCTGAAAGCATTTCTCTGGAGTTCTAGAACATTGGCATAGGAAGCTGGGTCCAAGATCCACTTCTCTCGGTGTCTTAATCACTTTGGCTACCATAACAAAATACCATAGGCTGGATGGCTTAAACACCAACATTTATTTTCTTGAAGTTCCAGAAGCTGAAAGTCCAAGATCAGGGAGCTAGCAGCATCAGTTCCCAGTGAGGGCTCTTTGCTGGCTTACAGACTGCCATCTTCTCACTGTGTGCCCTCTTAAGGGTGCTAACCCCTTCAGATCAGGGCCCCACCCTGATGACCTCATTTAACCTTGATCACTTCCTTACTCCAAATACGGCCACACTGGGGGTTAGGGCTTCAACTCATGAATTTAGGGACGGACACAATTCAGTTTGTAGCGTTCTGGGTTTTCTTTCTCCATCTGCTGGTGTCCCCCTGAGCCAACCATAGGGGCTGCTGCCCTCTTTCTGGTCCCCAGCATTAGTCTCCTCAGGGACAGCCCACCCAGTTCCTCTGTCTCATTTTCAGAATTGTCCTCTTTCTGTCTGCCACTGCACACACCTCACCTCAAAGCCGCACTTGGACCTGGTCACTCCACACAGTCCCCTCAGTTTCTGCAACCTTGGCTCTAAGCACAGTGCGGGGGAGCCAGCCCACTTCATGACCTTCAAGCTCCCAGGCCACAGGCCTTCTGGTTCCACCAGATCTCCTAGCCTCCCCCCAGGAACATGGCACCAGCCTGGAGCTTGGCCTCTCAGGACTATCAAGTGGTCCTTTTAGTTTTTAACTCTTTTCAGTTAAAACAATAAAACATGTTCAAGTGAAAAAACTCAATAGAAGGGAATCTCTGTAAACAGGTCTTCGTGTCCCCTGCTACCCATGTTTGATGAAGACACTTGCTCAGGTACACAAGATGGACAGAACGTCTTGTTATAGAACTCCAGATGCCCGTCACCCCTTGCTGCGGCTTCCCCTGTGTCCTTCTAGACTGTTCCCCCCTCTTCCCAGTGGCCTACAAAATGCAAAGCCTCTCTTCACTCCTGCAGGGCTCTTCCTCCCCAGTCCCCAGCGGGCCCTTCTCTAGGCCTGTCTTCCGCCAGGAGATGCCCTCTCTAGGAGACACCGGGCAAAAGCTTCCAGACTTCCCCTCCCAGGGGAGTTGCGAAGACAGAGCTTAATTCTCCGGGCAAGGATGTGGGACAACACGCATGGAGTATTGCCACCCAGGGAAGTTCCCCTGGGCTGAGATGTCCTTGGCTTTCCTTGGGGTCAGTCACAGGGGCATGCAATGCTCACGTGGCTGGCCTTATTCTCCAGCCCTCTGAAGGTTGAGTCAACACCTCAGGGCCCAAGACCCCCACCATGAATCACGCTGTTCACATAGACTATGGGTCACAGCCCAAAGCTCCCCAGTAAACAACACTCCTTTCAGGCAGCATGTTCTAGGGGCTGGTGACCCCCTCCCAGGAGCTGGTGGGCCTTGACACACACTCCTGGGAAATGCTGCCCAATCCTGAGGCCAAGTCCCTGGGGCTGCTCTTGCTTTGCTTCTTTGCTAGACATGAAAAACAGCCTCTTCAGAGGAAGGAGGCAGAATGTGGCACCGGGCAAACACAGCCTCAGGGGTCAGGGTGAGGTGTCCCATGCCTACGTCTGCGATGTCTGGGGATGGGGATGGATGCTGGCCTCAGCCCACGATGGAAGGAGTTGGGAGTCTGGGTCCGTTCCCGGCCCCAGGCCTATTTTCACAGCCACCTCTGCTTGCTGTCCCTCGGCTGTGGCTCCCCCAGGTCATTGCCACCATCCCCACCAGCCAGCTCAAGTGCCTGAAGGAAGCAGGGCACGGGCCCAGGAAGGATGACATGACTGATGAGGAGCTGGCCGAGGGGGAGGAAGAGATCGACCACGCTGAGCGTGAGCTCCGCCGGGGCCAGATCCTCTGGTTCCGGGGCCTCAACAGGATTCAGACGCAGGTAAGCCACCGCGCAGCCACAAGCAAGCATGAAGCAGAGAATAGGCAGGCTGAGCCTGGGCCCACCCTTTGCTCTTGCACCAAGATCACAAAAGCAGTTGCTAGTACACCCTCTGCCATTCCCAGGTGTGCCACCAGTGCCTATCCCTGACATCTCCCTCAGAGCCCAGGTGCCCCCCCCATAGATGGTGCAGGTGCCAACTAAAGGCCAGTGACTAGTAGCTGTCTCTCAGGGGCATGGAGCAGCACTGCCCACAGAACTGCCAGGTCTCGCTTTACTTGGTGGGAACTGCCCCAGGTCATAGGCAAGTCATAGGTCATAGGAACTGCCCCAGGTCATAGGCAAGTGTCCTTGGGAAGAGATGCTCACATCTAGTACCCTTTGGCGAGCTCACTGTTCGCTGGATTATACTGTAAATAGTATGGAAAGACTTCATTTGGGCCATGGACTCTGGCCACCAAGTTGGTCCCTTCTGTTCAGCCCAATCTCTAAACACTGGGGCTGCTCAAGGCTGAGGCTGCCAGCCACAGACCTCTGTAAAGTCCGAGGCCACCTGTACCGCCCAGCAGCAGGTACTGGCGAAGGCTTCGTGAGAGCCCACGTGCCAGAACTCCCCCTGCTCTCTGGCCCCATCTCTTCCCCACCAGCTTTCTTGCCAGAATGTTCCAGACTTGCTGTCTCCCCACATCTTTCCCTCCAACTTCCTCATGATCCCACTACAGCCTGGCCTCTGGCCGCCGCTCCCCAGAAATGGTTCTCATCAGGGTCTGCAAGGCCTCCTTCGGGATCCTGGGGCTGGGCCGTCCTGCCGCCATTCCTTCCTGCTGCCACCCTCCCTCCTGTATCTCTGCTCCTTGTCCTTGCTGTCTGGCGCCTTTGCTCCACCCTGCTGCAGCCTTTGCATGCTAAAACTCCTGGTCAGGAGGAAGAGCGTATGGGGGCCGCACCTGCACCCCAGCCCCTCTCCCACTGCAGCCCCTCCCCTAGCTGCCTCCGCATACCCCCTTCTCCTGCAAGGCCTGGGCCACCTCCTCCCAGGAGCACTCATCACTCCCTGCCCCTTCATGCTCTGTCCGGGACCCCCGGTCCCACTTCTCCACTCTGAGGTCCTGCCAGATTAAAGGGCATCACTGTGCACTCACCTGTGCAGCCCAAGGCTGCCTAGGCCACCAACACCTGCTAAGGTGCGACCACTCAGCTGGGCCCCCTTGGCAGTCTGTATAGGCAACTCCCTAGGGTAAGACCTGAGGCCACACCCCTCCTTAGTGTCTGTCTCCAACCTCTCTATCACACATCGACATCAGCTTGTCCCAAAGAATCTTCCATGCAACTTGCCCAAGGCTGTCCTCAGTGCCCTGGGTCCTGCGTTCCCTCCCAGTGGTCTCAACAGGCCCAGCCTTGGAGTATTCCTCCTCTCCTCCCAGGCCGGCCCCTCCATGCCACCCTCCATACTGGGGCCCTTGTAGCCTCCCTCCAATGTCCTAAGGATGAAGCCCAGTCTCCTGAGCATGGCCCGCAAGCCCCTGCCTCTGGCCTCGCCCACTCCTCCCACAGCCCTGCAACCTTGGCTGCCTTTGCACATGTGCCCCCTGCTTACCCATGCTGCTGTGCCTACATGCTGGCCACTGCCTGGGCCCCAGGCCTCCTCAGCTCCCACTGTTTCCCCTTGGGGCCCCCTCCTGACACTGCAAAAGCCTGCTCCAAGGCCGCCAGCCTTGTGAAGCCTTCTCAAACTCCACTCTCTCCTGCCACCATGGGCCATCTGTGCTCCCAGCCAAGGAGCACTGGAGTCTGGCCATATCAGAATGCCCTTGGGAACTTTCCAGAGCTGCAGAGTCCACAGGCCCACCCCCAGAGACTAGGATCCTGCAGGGCTGGGTGAAGTGGGACCAAAGAACTCCGTGTTGAAGGAGCTCCCCAGGGGTCTGAGGGCTTCTCCAGCTGAGATCCAGGGGGGTTGGTATCCTGAGCACCTAACCTAGTATGGCCAGGGAAGGATATCTTAGATCTGAACTCTGAGCAGTGTTGCCTTAGCCCCGGCTGGGCTGAGACTCAGAGAGTGCCCGGGAGAAGAAAGGAGCAGGCTTTGTAGCCAGACGGCCTGCGTCTCCTCTCCCAAGGTGGGGTGCTAATGCCTCAAGCACAGTGTCTGGGACAGGCCAGGTAGTTTCTTCTCATTACCTGCAACACATATTTATGTGCTAAATTTAAAACACGCCCCCCCCCAGTACCCTCCTGACTGCTCAACTGTGCCATCTACGGGATTGTGCCTATGAGCCCCCAGCTGTCCCCCAGATGGGCTTTCATCCCTCACACCCCTGTTCTGCTGCAGAGCCCAGAGCTGCCTAAGCTGGGGGCGGAACACAGCAGGACCTTGCTCCTGGCAGATCATTTCACTTCTGTTGATGCAGCCTAAGGCTGTGTTGTCTCTTCTAGCAGTTGAGACAGCAGCCCTCCCCTGATCTGAGGCCACCTATGTTGTCTCATGTCTTCTGTGTGCTAGTAGAAGTGGGTCCCATCAGTTGGAGTCCTGGAGTTCCAAACGGTTCCAATTGTTAGTGCCCACGTAGATGCTGGCTGGTTAGGTCCCTGCTTTACATATGAGGAAATGGGGCCCAGAGAGAAGTGATGTGCCCAGTGTAACACAATGAGAGCAAGCACTGGCCAGGGCCCCAGTCTGCTGTGTCTTATCCCAGAGCATACTCCTCTTCCCTCAAGAAAGCCACACTAATTCTTCCACAGGATCTTGAGCCCCATGGCTTTTCAGTTTGACTTTGTCACGTTGAAGTCACTGTGCTTCTCAAGAATTCTGAACCAATCAATTATTTGAGCTCAACTTTTTAAGAATGCCTGCTCAAAATACTGGCTTGAAAAACAACATAAAGCCAGAGAGAAACTTCTCAGGTCATATGTGTGCCCCAAGCCAAGGAAACATTTTCTAGGCAGCTGGCTCCAGACTGCTGGACATTGTGACCCACAAAGCTGCCCCCCACATTTCGGAGGCATTTTGAAACCTGCTACCTGCTCTCACCACCTTTCCATACTAACATAGCAGTACACCAGACGGATAGGGTTTCATTCTGGAACAAAAGAGAGTCCTTCAAACCCAGAACATGTAGCAGCTTTTGGAAGTGCTCATAACTCGGTCTGTTTTTTGCCTTCCATGACAAGCCATGACATGCTTCATCGGTGACTGGGCCTTGTTCCTGGCCCAGTGTGTGGGCTTCTGGGGGGAGAGGGCAGTGGCGATTGCAGTGTTTCCACTGACATGGGTGTCCCATTGGGACAAGGACCACAGCCAGGTGAGGCCAATGTGAATCTGAGGCAGGAAATCATCTTTCCCGTTCCTCATCCCTTTTGCCTTTTTGGCATACTCTCTTGAGGAGACCTGTCTCCATTGCCTTAGGAACATCTAAATCTAGACAGAAGAACCCACCCCCCAAGAGACCGTGATGCCATTGCATCAATCATCCTCCTGACACCCTGGGCACCAGGCTAAGCCACCACACACACTCAGTATGCATTCTTCACTCGCAGTTGGTGGCAGCAAGTTTCCCTTTGTTGCAACAGAGCAGGATGTGTGGGGTGGAAGGGGGCCGGGCAGTGCGTCCAAGGACTGCAGTGGTGCATGTCCTCATTTGGTTGGTGTGGGGAAGTCTGAACACTTGAGCTGCCTTCTTTCAAGAAGCCCTGGCCCATGTCAGACACCAGGCTGAACCTGGTGGCTGCCACGTAGCCCCTCCCCTGCTTTGCTGCTCACTTCATCTGGTTAGGTCCCATGCCAGTCAAGGGTGGGGGTGGGAAACCCAAAGACACTTGGCCAAGGGAGCCAAGTTCATCCACAAGGCTCCCCCGTGGGTCACAGTTTCTGCAGACCCACTTCGCTTTCACCTTCTAGGAAGTTTAAAGAGTGGGGACACAGCAGAGGCCACTTTGGCCCCCTAGTCCTTCCTGCCTCTCTGCCTGTGGGTCTGTGGGAAGTTCCTTCTAAGTCCATTCTTCTGCTGAGGCTCAAAGGGGCATCCCCCATCCAGTGAGTTGGATGAGCTGCAGAAGCCACAGTGATGGCACCCTTTCCCTCAGAGCAAGGTGTGCCACCTTGCCTACAGTGAATGAGGACAGTGATTCCTGACGGGCCCACGGAAGGGCCCCTGTTCCCCTTGCCACGGGGAGCCTTGTTTCTAATGGGAGCATGTCATATCCCTCAGGTGTGTTGGGGCGGAAAGAAAGGTTGAGAACTACGAAGTAGAATAACAAAGTATGGCCAGACACAGGTACTTCCTGACGAGTGGCTTGTCATGAGCATATCATGAATGCAAATGACTCGGAAATGTTTGTAGTGTGCCCTTGATGTGTAACACTCCCTGGTCTTGTGCCCACTAATCATTTGCTCAGCAAACCCTCTCTTGACGGATGACATAGGCCAGCCTAGGTCAGGGCCCTGTCAAATGCACACCAGCTCCCAGCGAGCGGAGCGCACCCACCTGAGGCTTTGCTGTCACAATATGTGACCAGCGTGGCCCTGTCCTCACCCAGCCCTCCCCTGAGCAGTAGCCCGGACAACAGTGCAAGCCGAACTTTATCTCATTTTCTCTCCCACAGATGGAGGTAGTGAGTACCTTCAAGAGAAGCGGTTCATTTCAGGGTGCTGTGCGCCGGCGGTCGTCAGTCCTCAGCCAGCTCCATGATGTAACCAATCTTTCTACCCCCACTCACGCGCTTCTCTCCGCCACCAATCCCGCCGGCGCTGCTGGGAGTGAGTCTTGACTGCCCTCTCCTCTCATAAACGGCATCTCTGGGGAAGAAAAGGCCTCCCCGCCCCTGCCTTCTCTCTTTTCCAGTCTCATATTTCCGCTCACCATGGCTTTTCTGCTTTCTCTTCACCACTCTGTCCAGTCCTTCCCACCCAGACGGTGTTGTTGCTCCAAGGCCATAGTCTCTTATGAAACGTGCTGGCGCGTGGCACTTCTGGACCTCCCGTTCTTTGCTATGTTTGGATTTTTGCTTTGTGTTTAGTGCTTCTTCTGCCATTGTTTTTCTTTTCTTGAACTTGTCTGCCTTTGTTGATGGTTCTTCATGAACTTCGGCCACTCCTGGTGGCGTGTGGTATTGGGCTGGGGCCTTGCTCTGCATTCTGTGGTGCAGGCCACCCTCCTGGGGCTGGGGGAAGCAATGCCCTGCTGGCATCATTTGCAGTAGAAGAATCCAGCCCACCTACTCAGGGACTGAAGTGACAGCTTCCAGCATTCTCCTTGAGGTGGTTTCCAAAGGATGCTGCTGTCACCTGTCCCCATATAGGCTTGGTGCTGGCCAATTGCTCCTGCACAGGTGGTGCCTGCCCCATAGGCCCTTGTCCCAAGCCACCAGATATTAGAGATGTCCTGGGAACTGGAGCTCAGAGGCTGCTCACGCCTCATTGCCACTTGTTTCCGAAGCACCTTTGCTCTTTCCAAACAGGACTCAGGACTGGAAGGTCTTAGCCCGATCTGGTCTGCACTCTCTCTCCTCCTTCCTCTGAGAAGCCAGGAGAAATCCTTTCCCTTCGATATGGTTCAATGAAAAGTTCCCACCATGCTGGTCACATTATAGAGAGAACACAGGGAGCATCCTAAGGAGATAGAGACGTCCACAGTTGTTCACATCTTCTTACGGAGACAAGGGAAGGCCACTAGACTGCTGAACCTGCCACCCCACAGTTCCTCCAACAGGAGAGAACGCAGGAGGCTGTGTGGGCCCCACTCCCACACAGGGTGGCCTGCTCTTGCTAACAAACTAAAGAGATTTTAAAAACCAAACAGTCAAACTTCGAGTACGAGCGCAGAGCCTTTGCAGGAATGGTCCATGCTGCCTCTCCTTCCCTTCCAGCCCCCGCCGCTTTCCCTCTGAGAGCGCCAGCACCTTCCCCATCGCACACTCTTCCCGCTTGACTTCTTTCTTTTCTCATTTTGGTTTATTGCCTTCTTTCTTTTTTAGGAACTGGTGAGAGGTCCCTGGTGGGGGGCTGCCCCTCCTCTTGCTTAAGCTGTCGTTGCAGGCCACTCTGCCCTTTAAGGAAGGGAGGAGATCTGCCCCATCCCTGCTGGGCAACATTGTCCCCCCTTGGGAACAAATGCACACATGCTCACCCCTTCTCCAAACCACAAGCTGCACACACCTCCAGCTTACTCCCACACTCACTGGGCCACCCACCCAGCTCACAAATATTGGCTGACAGTGTTGCCATCAGGCTGGCAAACACACAGACTGGGGCCCAGATGGGCCTCACCATCACCCTTCCCCCCAGAGAGGCTGGCAGGGCCCAAGTGGGCAGCAGCACCTTCCTTCCTCGGAGCAGAGGGGTGAGAGCAGGCACAGGTATGCCCTGAGGAGCGCACATGGATCTTCCCACACCCCTTCCTCCCACTTGACTTCCTCTATGTGTTTCTTTGCCACGTCTCTCTGTGCTTCCTATCCGTCTATCTGTCCATCTGCCCGTTTGTTGAGCTAAGGGGAAAAAAGCCAACATGGCCCTGCTCCAAACATCCCTGAAGTCTTCTGCACAGCTCTGGCCTTGTCCCCACCCAGGGCTAGTCCTGCCTTGCTCCCATGAGGCCTGTGTCTCTTCACTGCCTTGGGATCCCTCCCACTCCCTCCCTGGGGGTGGCCATTCTCTCCTCTCTTCCTCCTCTCCTAGGACTTCCTTCCTTCCTTGCTTCCTTCCTTCCATGGCCATCTGTGCCCCTCCTCCCCATCTCCAGAGCCCAGCAGTGCCCGGTAAGTACAGTGGGAGAGACGCCACCCTCCTGCTGTTTGCGAGCCATTTCACAGGGGACCCAAGTAGTGGCTGGCCAGAGGGAGGGCAGCTGTCCCTTGCACAGTATGCACTGCCAGCAGAAGGCACAGGACTGACAGAAAGGCTCCCCCGGTTGAGCAGCAGCACCTCAGAAAGACTCTTCTGTGGAGGAAGATGCTGGTTGGGGACCCTGGCAACACCAAGGGGGATATGTCTGCTTCCAGAAGACACTGACCAAAACTGCTTCCTGCCATCATCATTGTGCAGCAGATTGGTTTAGAACTCAGAACCCAAGCCCTTCCATAGGCAGCTAGGCCTGGTAGTGTCAGCCCTCACCATCTCCCTGGAACTTTCTGGTGAACGGCAGCTGCTCTGAAAGAAGGCAGGGTAGAGGCCATGATGGAGCTTCCTTAGACAAGAGGCAGCACTCTGTAAGGTGCTGTGGTCACAGGCTGCCCCAACTAGGCTGGAAAGTTCTTTACGTTATGAGGTTTCCTAAGGAAAATCCATGGTTTCGTACATGCGGAATTTTCCATCCTCTTTGCCTACTCCCAGCCACTCTGCCTTTCAGCCGCCAGGAGTCAGGGGGCCTTTCAGGGATCTGAACCTGCAGCTGTCACTACACTGGAGGGGCCTCCTATTCTAAGTCATTCCCACTGAGGTCCTCAGGCTCTCCAGGTGTTGATAGGTGACAACATCAGGGTCAATGCAGGAAGTAGCCAAGAATGTCCTCCAAGCCTGGGATAACTAGGACCCTTGGGGCTCAGTGTTCCCAAATTTGAGGCCTCCCCTCCCTTTCCAGCCTCCCATGCCACATGCACACGCTTGCCTTTGCTGCTTCTGAACTCAGAAGTCCCAACATTGACCCCACTTCCTCCTCTGCCCCCACTGTCAGACTGCACCAACTGTGACCTCCGGACTCTCAGCTCAGAGCCATTTCTCCTCACTTGCCCAACCTGGTGGTTGCCCTTTCATGGCCATTTTGTTTACCATCCTTCCAGTCCAGGGTGTAGTGCCTTCTTCCCCTTCATAGCTGCCACGTCATTTCATGTGACCTGGGCCATGGCCTTGTGTCCAGCCCATCTGGGCAGCTAAGGGGAGAGCCTTCTTTAACAAGCACTTTAAGCCTTTGGGAGACTAGGGGTACACAGAATCCTCTTCTCTGTCAGCCTGTCGGCACCGCCTTCCCACTCAAGCACACACGCGCTGACGCTGCAACAAGCTCAGCGGCGCTCTCGCAGCTGGATGTGCCTGCTGACAGGTAGGAATGAGAGGGTGCATGATCATTTGGAAAACCCCGCTGAAGCCTCTTGAAAGTGCTTTTGTGTCTGTTTTCCACTGGAACACACAGACATACCCCAGCCCTTCTCCAGCCATGCACCCAAAGTCTGTTCCCTACCATTCCTAGGCGCCTGCCTAGCGTGACCTGTCCTTCCTGCAGTGATGCTGCACTTCCATACTCAGATGTTCACTGTCACAGTATTTCACAAGATGGCCCCTGTCCTGCCCAGCAAAGGGGTAGGGGCAGGGGACTGGCCATGAGTTTGGTCCAGTGTGGCTAGAGGGGGTCCCTCAGGGCCATGTAGTTCTGATTAACCATGCCAGAAACAGGTCCCAGCAGTTGCTTTATTTCAGTTGGCTTTTGCAACATGAAAATCTTGAGTCCAAAGGGGCCAAACTGACAGAGTAAGCGTTCATGGCTTCGACACACCTTTCCGGAGCCCAGGAAGGTGTGTTCACCACACACGCACAGCCCCATGGTGGAAGGAGCTTGGCTAAGTGAAAGCAGTCTTGTTCTCTGGAGTTTGCTCCATTCTCAGGAAGTTTATTTGCTTTAAGCCAAATCTCCCTACTTGGGTTTCTGGAAATAGTGTATTGGCATTTGCCTCAGATAGTTATCAGTGCACACACTGCCTTGACACTGGAAACAGTACCAGCCCCTGCACTGAGAGCCCTGCCCTGCCCAAGCCGTCCTGGAACCATGGGCTCTAATATAGGGGAACAACATCCAGGCAGTCCCTAAAGCACACACCAGAACACAGCCCCAGGAAGCCCCTGGAAGCCCTAATCCAAGTTCCTCCCCAATAGACATTTCGAGTGTCAGGCTGAGAGCCAGGGCAGGGCTTGGGGGACTTCCTCCTATGTGGTCTTCTGTGTGACCACCTGAAAGGCTTGAGACTTGCTGTGCCCAAGTCGGGAGAGCTGCTTGGATGCTGCTGCCGGGAGCACATGTCTAGGCTCACATGGTCCGGGCACTTGAGCATGCACACAGGTGGGCGTTTGCAGTTACAGCTTGCCAACATACACAAAGCTGTGTCTGTAGTTTCTGCTTTGTTGTTCCATCCTTTGGTGAAAGAGCCAACTCTGGAGTTTGCATTTTATTTTTCCTAATTCGAGCATGTGACATCCCCAAGGAGAGGAAAGGGGCCTTGCACACAGAGAAGCGAAGCCAAAGCTATCTCTTCCTCAATGTTCAGGCTTTCTGTGCTTGGCTTCTCGTTGCCTGAGTGGATTGATGTATCATATCACCACAGGCTCTTGCGACACCTTCTTATGTGGCTTTCACGTTGTGATTCACCCCCACACCTACAGGAAGTGTTTCAGGCTTAGAAAACCTACAGTTCCTGGCAAGCAGTTCCCATGGTCTCCCTAGCTGCTGTGTTCATAATATGCTTTGAGTCCAACAACACCCAGATGCCGGGGAGCTGACAGGCCCCCACCTCCCGAGGAAGGTTCTGGACTAGTGGTTGGTGCAGAGCAGTGGGAAGGCAGGGAAGGACTAGCCAGAAGGTCCCACGGTGCAGCAGCAGCAGCCAGGGATTGTTTGTGCCGGAGAGTTGGAAGGGGCAAGACGGCATCAGGCACTTTCCGTTCTTACTGTTGTCATCGTGGTTCAGAAGTCTTTGCTTTTACTTTTCTCTTCTTTTCCTTCTCTTTTACATTCTTTTCGGTGGGGTGCTGCTGCCCAGCCCCTCGCTTATTTCCTTGCTTCCGCAGCCCTCTCCGCCCCTGCGTCCCTGCCCACACTGCCAGCTGCAGTGCCCGGAGGCCTGCACAGGGCACGAGCATGCACAGCCACGCACCTCACCCTCTGCTTTGGCTCCACATGGCCGGGGATGGGCCCTATCGGTCTGCAGTGTCACCCGCCCTGCGTGAGGCTCAGAACTGTTCATCTGTGCAGGTCAGGAGCCTGGGCCAAGGCCACAGTGCCCAGCATGTCTCTCCGGGCAGCACATAAGGAACAGAGAAGAGAGCTAAGTGCAGATGGCCACAGCCTCAGAAGGAATGCAAAATGGGGAGCAGGGCTTAGGCTGGGGGAGGGATGGGCCAGGCAGGGGAAAAGGCACGCATCATGTCCCCAGAGGGCTCCTGCTTGCTAGTTAGAGCAAAGTTGGGGAAGAGTCTTAGGGAGGGGCAAAGCCATCGCAGGAGACAGGCACCAGGCCTTGTGGCCCCCTGACCACTGAGTCCCTGCTGGGTGCCATACTATCCTGAGCACTGGGGTCATCAGCAAAACAAGACAGGCCACCATCCCCAGGGGGCTTGTGTGCCACTCAAAGGAGACAGAGGAGGGAATTCTAGGATGTGTGGGACATTTGAAGGCAGAAGATGAAGCAGAAATGGCTGCAGGGTGCTGGGGAGTCCTGAGCAGGAATATGCCGAGGCTGCAGGTATACAAGAGGACTGCAGGGCCCCTTTGAGGGCACACAGCTAGCAGGGGACTGGCATTGGTGGAGGCTGTGACATGCTAAGAGCTAAGACTGGGCTGTGGGGGTGGGGGTGGAGTGGCAGGTCCTAGATGGTATCTGAAGGCAGTGGCAGAGGCTGGGGCCCGTGAAGTTTGGCACACAACTTAGCCACCCAAGTCTGCAGCTGGAGACGAGAGATGCCTTAGCCGACAGGTGGCACAAACTGAGGAGGCCTCGCATGTTGGGGACTGGGAGAAGGGGGACCTGCAAAGTGGCTGGAGCAGAGCCATGAAGGGAGCACAGAAGTGTGGCAGAGCAAGTTGGCAGAAGGCTACTAGGAGGTAGGACACTTGGATGAGACACGAAGCCAGTCAAGAGTCCCCTGGCATACCCTGGCCCCCTCCGCCTCCCCAGATGCCTCCTCCATAACCCTCAGGGGCATCTTTCCTGGAGCATGCCTTTATCTCTTTGCTTTTTAAGTTGTCCTTCAGTATGATGGCTTTCAGGGGTACAGTTTGATGAATTTGCACATAGTCAGGACCCAGGCCATTTTCATCAGCTACTAGAATGTTTGGAGCAGGTGGAGGAGCAACAGGGACTCAGCAGCCAAAGCGAGCTTGGAAACTCCATCTGGAGAAGGGACGTCAGCCCTGCAGTCAGGTGGGTCCCCAGGGGCCTCCAGGACCCGAGGCAGGACATGGCAGCAGCAGTGAAGATGGGAGAGGACAAGATGTGGGCACAGGACACAGTGATGTACGGCACATAGAGTCAGAGGGTTGAGGTGTCTCTGAGGTGTGGCCAGAGCCCTGTACTAGGATGGGAAGGCCAGTGAGGATCAGAGTCGGGCCAGGGCCACACTGAGAGTCCTCCTCAGGCCTCCTGAAATCAGAGAAGTCACTTAAGCCACCTGTGGGTGGTGCCCAGGAGGCAGCAGCAGGTGCAGGAGTCTGACAGGCCAGGCAGAAGTGGACCCTGGGGACAGACACAAAGGTGGACATGGTGTACATGGTCTCTGCCATATCTGAAAGCTTGAGGGTAGTAAAGGAGCCCCAGGCTGGGTACAGAGCAGGAGGTCATACAGGGCTCCGAGGAGGAGAGGCCAGTGCATGGGCAGTGGGACAGGTGCGGGATCCGCTTAGGTTTGGTTGTGCTTTCGCTGGAACATGCTAAACTCTGGCTGGTGGCAGGATGGAAGCTCAGAGCCATGGGGACACCCTCAAGCACCTGTGTAGGAGCTCAGCCCTCCAGGACTGGCCTGTCTTAGAAATGCTTGCTGGTTTCCATGGAACCAATTTCCCAGAAATTGACCAGGGCCCTTGGCATTGGGGTGGGCTGAAGACACCCCATCATAAGACTGAGACCAACACGTTTTCTAACAGCACAAGGTCAAAATGTGAGGAAAACAGAAGCTGGAGAGAAGGCAACTCACAGTGGCATAGGCCAGGCTTAGCACCTGGACAGCAGGATGTTGGAAGGGGCTTCCCATCCCTCGACCACGCACTTACTCATGCTTTCCCTAAGTGTTGGCCGAAGCCCACTCTGTACCAGGCAGATGACACGGGAGGAGCACACTGGAGGAGCGTTGTGACCAGAGCAGTGGTAGCAGCAGAAGTGGGGACCTGCAGAGGAGAGGTGGCCATGAGGCCTTGGACTTCGGGGTTTAGCCGGTGCAGCGAGACCTGTACGTAGGTGTGAGCAGGGGCCTCACCTGATCATGTGCCCCGGGTCCAAATGAGGCCACCTGCTCATCAAGGAGAAGAGTGTGGCCAAAGTCACAATGCAAACTTACCACACACATCCCCAGGGTCAAGGACGTGCAACTCTCTCTCTTTTCTTTGACTTGACGGGTGCAGCCAACAGCTGGAGTAGGTGATCTCCTGGGCGGCTTCCACACCACAATCCCGCACCAAAAAAGACCTAAATAATGGGGCCATATCTGTGTTGGCTACAAAAAGTTCTTTCTGTTTCTTTTCATTAAAAATATCAAACGATTCTCAATTTCTGTGTTCCCCGTCTCAGAAACCAGCCTAGGGAGAATGGCTGACCACCTGTGATCTGGCAGCTGTGGCTTCCCCAGGTCCAGAGAGAATCCTAACTGCATTTCAGATATGGCACTCAAAATTCTGAGTTAAAGGAGCTTTTTGGCGTACTGTTTTGCACACAAAAGACTCTGGGTTCAAACTGACTTAGGACACTGTGCTTGCCTGGCTGAGCTGTTGGCACCAAGGCCCAACTCTGGTGGTAGTTAGTCCTATAACTAGGGGGTGGCAGACTTTTCCTATGAAGGGCCGGAGAATAAATATGTTTCGCTGTTCAGGCCAGGTCTCTGTTGCAGCTACACAACTCTGCCCTTAGAGCGTGAAAGCAGCCATAGAGACAATACATAGACAAGTGGGCATGGTTGTGTGCCGATAAAACTTTATTTACAGAAACAAGCAGAGGGCCAGAGTTAGCCCTCAGGTCATAGTTTGCCAACAAACCATATCCCAGAACCTTAGATCTTGAAATGACTTTAGAACTCATAACGTGTCTACCCACTCACACAAGGAGGACTAGCTGGTGCTGGGTGGACTCCGGTGTCCCACCTGGCAGCCAACACTCTTTCCGCTGTCCCCTACAGGAAGGTTCACTGGGCTGGCTTTGCCTTTACAGTACAGGCTCAGCTGGCATTGGCAGCTGTGCCAACACTGGGTCATGCAAGGCTCCTAGAAGCAGCCCAGGCTGGGGGGCCGGGGAGGAAGCACAGAGAGGCAGCAGCTCCGTGCTGTGTGAACCCATGAGACTTGAGTTGTATGTGAATAAAGGTGGAGAAACCAGGGGAAGGAGGAGTTGATTCTTTGAGCAGGCCCTGCAGGAGATGCAGGGGGCTTCAGAGGGGGCCCTGAGCAGCCTAGCTGGGGGCAGGGGGCTGCAGTGGCAGGGGAGTCTGGGGCACGGTGGGGAGCGGGAACAGCCAGGAAGCAATGTATAGAAGAGCCAGAGGAGGGAGAATTCAGCAAATTCCCTGAGGACGAGGCCAGAGGGGCAGGTAGCTGATGATCTGATGATCGCAAAGGGCTACTGGCAGCAGGGACCACCCAATCAGGCCCAATCAGATGCATCCAGCTGTAGGGTGGCAAAGGACACAAGTAGGAGCATAGGGGCTTTAAGGAGACCACGAGGGCATCTGAGCAGAGACAGGCTTGATGGGTGCAAATTAAAAGCGGCCATTTTCGGTCAGGGAGGCCTCCATGTGGGGGACTGGTGGGTTGTCAGGCCTGGAGCTCTGTGGAGGAGCCTGGAGCACCAGGGACAGAGAAGGGAGCAGCCAGTGATCTGGGGGAGTGGGTCGCAGTCCCTGGGGAAGACCCACTCAAGAAAGGCTGGCAATGCCCACAGGCTGGAACTTGCTCTTCCCAGTAGGTACTTTGGACTTCCTGGTAAGACAGAGGAGAGAGCCCACTCACTCTCCAGCATTCTCTCCTCTAATCATCTTTCTTTTCTGCCAAATTGGAATTGAGATTGGGCAGAGACCCCAGGGGCCACCTAAGCTAGTCCTCCCCCCAGGGCAGGGAATGGGGAGGTAGTGCATTGCTCTTGAGTTCCATAATAGCTGCCAAAATCAGCCTAGAGAAAGCCACTGTCATTTGTCCTGCCTGTGGATCAGTTGACAAGACCAAGGCCCAGGCCTGAAAACCTTTCCCACAGCCAGGCAGAGGCACCCCATTCCGTAGCCACCCTCCACTGGGTGGACATTTATCATGCAAGACCCCTGGCCATTGATGTGGGTGGAGCCACTAGCACTAGCCAGCCACTGACCGTCTCCTTCCTTCCTTTCTCCTCTTCCATCCCTGCTCCCACCTCGGGCCCCTGTCACCCCACCTCCTGCTCCAGATCCGGGTGGTGAAAGCATTCCGTAGCTCACTCTATGAAGGCCTGGAGAAACCGGAGTCTAAGACCTCCATTCATAACTTCATGGCAACGCCCGAGTTTCTGATCAATGACTACACCCACAACATCCCGCTCATCGATGACACGGACGTGGACGAGAATGAGGAGCGCCTGCAGGCCCCCCTGCCCCCTTCCCCCAACCAGAACAACAATGCCATAGACAGTGGCATCTACCTGACCACGCATGTCACCAAGTCAGCTACCTCTTCAGTGTTCTCTTCCAGTCCTGGGAGCCCACTCCACAGCATGGAGACGTCCCTCTAACCAGAACTCGTCTCGGCACACGCACACAGGCACACTCAGGCTCACACGCAGTCACATGCACACACGCACACACAGAGGGGAACCCACACACCTGCAAATGAGGGGGATGACTATAGTGGCTGAAGACTTGTCTTGCGGGGCATTTGCAAGAAGCCAAACACATTCAATAAGGGTGCAGCCTGCCACAGGCTTCACATTGGGGATAAGGGCTGAGGCAGAGGAAGAATAAGAGGAGGAAGGGAAGGTTCTTCATCCGAAGGGGAAGGAGAAAGTAGACAGTGAGAAGAGCTGTGTTCCCCACCCTTTTTCTATCGCTTATTTTTAAGGAACACTCCAATTCTACCGTGTGTTTGCTGCGGGGCTGTGTAGGGGCCAGGGATGGGGGGGGCTGCCTTGAGTTTCCTGGGAGCTTTGTTGCACCCATGCAGGAGTAATCGGATCAACATACTCATACAAAAAAAGGTCGAGCTCTCTACGAGGCCATGAAGGATGCCACTGTCCAGACAGGCCACCCAAGGGAGCTACCTGCAAACGTACCTGCAACCGCAAAGCAACCCATCCCCAGAGCAAACTAGACACGTCTGCAGTGTGCATGTGTGCATGTGTGCACACATATGTCTGTGTGAATGCATATGCATATATACATGGCAAGATGCATATTTACAGAATAAGGAACTATTATTGGCATGATACTTCCATTCCTCTGACCAGGCGTTTTCATTTTGAAATTTCATTATTGAATGTAGCAAGTTTTTTTTTTTTTCAGGGAACTAGACTGCAAGAATATCTTCTTGGTTAATATATTTTTGTCCTGAATTGCCCTGCCCACCCCTCAGAACCCGATCCTATCCTTTGGGACTCCCGTTACAGTTGGAGCATTTGCACTTTGTGAGTCCTGCCTATAGAGGAGAAAAACCTTTCAATGGAATTTTTTATTTAAAAGGAAAGTACCAACATATTGATGAGAATGATCCTCTTCAGTAGGTGGAAGGGGAAATTTTGTTTTGAGCTTCCTTTGCTTTCAACTGCAATTCCAAGTCCTTAATTCTGGCTGGTGGCTTCCTTTTTCCACACCCCTAACTTCAAGAGCATGAAGTGGTGTATGCCAGCTTCTGGTCCTGTCCCTACCCTGACCCCGTCTGACCCAATGGGCCCCAGAACCCTGGGAGCAGCCTCAGTACAGCAGAGAGACAGATCACCCCAGTGCCAGGTCCCAGGGACCGGGAAGAGAGATCATCAAAACCCAAGAGGAGCTGGCCCTATCCCCCTCAGCTCCTCTGACCACACTTCATTTTTTGCTTTGCAAATGCCAAGAAGTCCTTGCTAGACTGCTTTAGTGTCTGTGGTAGCACAGGAGGTGAGACAGGAGGTGCCACCCATCAAAGCGCTCTTCTGATCCCTCTCTTCTTGTCCAGATGACAACTTTAACACAAGAGGGCAGAACAGAAGCAAAGCCCCTTGGAGCAATGGCATTTTATTACTATCACTCTCATCACACCCATGGCTCTTTCTCCTAAGCCCATCGTGGCTGAGCACCAGGTCCCAAGGGGAGCCTGTCCTGGTAGTGTAGGCACCCAGCAAGGCAAGCCTCGGTTTTCCCCAAATGGGGGACGTGCAGAGTAGGCAGATAGGAGAGAGAGGGTCCCAGCTTTTGCTGCCCTACTGAGGAAGTCGAGAGGGATAGGCCTTTTCCTAATGGAAGGCCAGTCCTCCCCTCTGCCCTAGGTTCCAAGTATGGACACTCACAGTGACACCAGCGAGGCAGGTGGCACCTTGCCCATGAGGTTCCATTACCTCTTGGACTCAGGTGTAACGTTTTGCAGGGAGGTGGTTGGGGGAGTTAGGATCAGGGCAGATGTGGACTGGCCCTCAAGAACTGAGCCCCTCCTGCTCTGCCCCACTGGCGGACTTGTCTCACCTCCACGGCCATCCACACAAAGCCAAATGGACACGTACTCTGTCCCAGCCATTAACATTAACACCATGTCACCTCTGAGCAGGAGTAGTCAAATCTCGGGCAAAAGAATTTCAGTTAGAAAAGAAAATCCCACTTTAAAATGCCAGCTACAGATAACTCAAAGCCATCCCTTTTTTCCAAAGGGCACATTGAGAATGTTACCCATTTGTAAATTGTTCCCTGATGTCCTTGTTTAAAGAACAACAACAAAAAGGGCAACTCAGTTTGTTGAGGGTCTTTGTGTTCCTAAACAAGAAATAAAATTCGAAATGTCTAAATTGAAGCAGCTAAGCTGTGTAATGCTACACTCACACGCTCCTTCCTGTTCTCTTTTGTAGACACACGATAGAAACAATGGCTGATTATATCGCAAAGCAAACCCTCGCTGCTGCTATGCAAAGCTGCCTGGTGTAAACATCCGTTGGCTGTGGGGCCCCAGGTGGCCTTCGTGCAGGGTCCAGGGGCTCAGGAAAGGGGTGTCCGCGTGAGCTCAGATCTGCTCTGGCGCTGGGCGGTCTGCAGGCCGAGGGCCTCTCTTTGTAAAGCATCATGTTATCCGGAATGGCTTGGTCAGCTGTGTTCAGTTAATAAATACATTTTACATTTTTATCTGCTTGTTATAAAGATGAACAAAAAAATCTTCATGAGGAAGACCAGATGCATAATAATTTAAAGTCTGTAGTTGAATTTCCTAATTTAAAGACTAGACCAAAATTTCTGTGTATGAAAAAAATGAAAGGCTCCTACATCCTGGTCTGGGTAACGTGTGTGATTTATTATCTGGTGAATCCTCATACAGAACAAAACAGAGGTGTCCACGCCACTGTGCCAGAGCTGGAGAGGCCACAGTGGGGGGAGCGACAGCCTGGCCGGGTCCTCATGCCAGAGCTGCCGCTATCTGCACCTGAAAGGGTTGTGGTGACTGCCCAGGCCTGCGTCCTCACACGAGGGTGGGGGCAGGAGCCTTAGCAATTGTGATGATTCAGTGCGAACCCACCCACCCAAACACCAGAACCCTGGCACATATGCACACACCCTCTTTTTTTTTACTGTGGTAAAATATAATATATAACATAAAATGTGCCACATTACCACATTTGGGTGCACAGGCGGTGGTGTTCAGCACATTCATGGTGTCGTGTGGCCATCCCCACCGTGTATCCACAGACCTCGTTCATCTTCCCAAACCCAAACTCTGTCCCCATGAAACACCGACTCCCTGTGCCCCTCCCCAGCCCCTGGCACCCACCACTCCCCTGCCTGTCTCTGGGGACTGGACTGCTCTCGGATACGGCCCCACACAGAAGTGTAATCTTGTAGTATTTGTCCTTTTGTGACTGGCTCATTCCACGGAGCACGACGTCCTCAAGTGTCAGCCGTGCTGTAGCCCGTGGCAGCATTTCCTTCCTGTTCAAGGCTGAGTCATGTTCCACTGCCTGGAGAGACTGCATTTGTTTATCCATACTTCCCTCCATGGACACTGGGGTTGCTTTCACATTTTAGCTATTATGAATAATGCCGCTGTGAACATGGGCGTAAAAATGTCTCTTTGAGGCCCTGCTTTTAATTCCTTTGGGTATATACCCAGAAGAGGAATTGCTGGATCATATGGTAGCTCTATGTTTAATTTTTCGAGAAACCACCATGCTGTTTTCCATGGCGGCCACCATTTTACATTCCCATGAACAGTGCATGAGACTTCCAATAATAAACTTCATGTCACTCACTCACTCCACATGCTGCATCCCGGAGCTCCCAGCTACCTCTGAACACGCCGGCGTGTGGACACTGTGCTCCATGGCACCACCCCTGCTTGAACCAGGAAGAGCCAGGGAAGTAGTTCCGTGGCTGAGACTTGCAAATGACTCAGTGCTAAGACTCCCCTTACCTCATGTCATTGGATTCCTCTTTCTCTACTCTGAACATCACCCTTTTAAGATTTGGCAGCCCCAGAAGACACATTTCCAGGGAAGCTGTCAAGAGAAGAGTAAAAAGGCTTCAAAGTTCCCTCCAACTACCAGAGTCCATGCTTCCAAAACAGGCAAGAAGACCAATAGCAGAGCACCCTTGTTTTATTGGTGTGCAAGTACATTTTGAAACTCAGGCTAAGTAAGTCTGGATTGGGCCTAACTCTACATGGAGACAGCTGGCACCTTAGGGAGAGGTGTCATGCTCCCCAAAAGACTGCAAATTTGCATCAGCAGAATGCTTTTTCTCATGGACTTCTAACAAGTATAACATAGATTCCCATGCAAAAAATTGGCACTTAGCCAAATGGCTTGGGACAAGAGAGCACAACAGCCAAGCACTGCAAGCCCAAGCTGGTGTACCTGTGCCCTGTGGCTGCGACAACAAAGGGCCACAAGCCAGAGCTCCAAAATCGGGGTGTCAGCAGGGCCGTGCTCCTGGTGGAGACTCTAGGGGAGACTCTAGGGGAGACTCTGTTCCAGGTCTCTCTTAGATTCTGATAGTGCCAGCGACATTTGGCATTCTTCGGCTTGTAATGTGCATCATTCCACGTACATCATCCACATATCGGCCTCTGTCTGCACGTGGCCTTCTCTGTGCCTGCCTGTGTCTCTTCTCTGCTGTTTGTTTTCAATAAACAGCAAAAGCTTCATCCTTGCCCACGTCACAGCTCAATGCATGCCAGGAGGCTCTCCTTCCTGGCTCCACTTCAGAAGAAATTCAGGTAGAGGTTGTTTCAAACTTGTGATTCTGTCATCTCAGAGTCCTTTGTTTCTAGAAGTTCAGATGAGAAAACAGATGGAAACAACACACTTGCTCTTAAGTGCTTATGGTGATACCTGTGATGTGTCCACGTGCTCCCCAGGCATGAATTGAAAGCACAGGATCCTAGTGTAATTAGAGGGCACTGATTTTCTCCACCACAAGGATTGTGTGTTATTTCAGGCAACTACTATGTTCTTTATTGGTTTTACATTTTAACATTCCACCAAAAAAAAAAAAAAAGAGCATGGGCTCTGGAATCAAACCACTTGAGTGAGAACTCTGGTTCTATCATCAACTAGCTGTGACTTGTGCCAATGGATGCCCCCCTCAGTTACCTCGTGTGTAAAATTTAATAATAATAATAATAATCTACCTTGTGGGCTTGAGCATCAGATGAGTTAGTTAATACACATAAAAGAGACTTAGAATAGTGGCCAGCACACAGCACTCAGTAAGCACAAGTTACTGTTTTCACCAGACACGGTATGGCCACTGCCCGTTCCCTCATCACCACAGCCCTGCATTCCACAGGAGTAGGCAGGAGGCGGGCATACTAGGCACATTTGACACTGTGCTGGTCACCACCACACTTCGCAGTTGTTTCTTCTGAAAAAGAGAAGCGCAGCTCAGAGAAGCCACATAACACACTTTGCGTTGCGCAGCTGCTGGGACTTAGCCATGCTACCTTCCAGCAGAACATCATGTGTCCCATTCCTGAATTTTAAATCAAAGATGCTGGTGAGAAATCTTGTGGCCTTAGGGAAAATATTTTCTTAAGAAATTATTTATTTTTAATTGATACAGTGTAACCGTCCATGTTTCTGGGACACAGTTTGATGTCTTGATATTCGACATTCAATAGATATTTGATACACGTCCACTGTGTGATGGTCCCATCAGGGTAGACAGTGTATCCATCACCTCCCACACTTACCCTCTTGGGGTGAGAGCTTTCACTGGCTATTTTGTAGCAGACAGTATTTTACTGTTAACCATCATCACCCCACTGTGCAACAGACAACAGAACTTACTCCTGGTATCAAATGATAATTTCGGAGCTGACCAACTCCTCCCCAACCTCCCCTGCCGGCCCCTCCCCAGTCTCTGGTAACCATTTTTCTGCTCTCTGCTTCTAGAATAGCAACTTTTTTATTTTTTAGATTCCCTATATGAGTACAGTCATGTAGTATTTGCCTTTCTGTGCCTGGCTTATTTCACTTACAATAATGTCCTCCAGGTCCATCCATGTTGTGGCAAATGACAGGATTTCATTCTTTTTTATGCCTGAATAGTATTCCATTGTGTACAGATGTCACAATTTCTTTATCCACTCATCTGTCAACAGACACTTAGGTCGATTCCATATCTTGGCTGTTATGAATAATGCTGCAGTGAACATGGGAGGGCAGACATCTTGACGTACTGATTTCCTTTCCTTTGGATATATACCCAGCAGTGAGATTGCTGGATAATATGGTAGTTCTATTTTTAACTTTTTGAGGAATCATCATACTGTTTTACGTAGTGGGCACACTAATTTACATTTCCACCAACAGTCAGCAAGGGTTTACATTTCTCCACACCCTCACCAACACTTCTTATCTTTTGTCTTTTTGATAACAGCCATTCTAACAGATATGAGGTGATATCTCATCATGGCTTTGGTTTGTATTTCCCTGGTGATTAGTGATGTTGAACATTTTTTCATATACCTGTTGGCCATTTGTATGTCTTCTCTTGAGAAATGTCTATTCAAGTTTTTTGCCCATTTTTAAATCAGGTTATTTGTTTTTTTGCAGTTGAGTCATTTGAGTTCCTTATATATTCTGGATATTAACCCCTTGTCAGATGTACAGTTTTGTAAATACTTTTTCCCATTCTGTACCTTGTCTCTTTACTCTGTTAATAGTTTCTTTCACTCTGTGGAAGCTTTTTAGTATGATGTAGTCCCATTTGTCTATTTTTGCTTTTGTTGCCTGTGCTTGAGATCTTATGTAAGAAATCCTTGCCTGGCCCAATGTCATGAAGCATTTCCCCTATGTTTTCTTCTAGTAGTTTCCTAGTTTCAGGTTTTACATTTAAGTCTTTAATCCATTTCAAGTTGATTTTTCTATATGCTGAGAGGCAGAGGTCTAGTTTCATTCTTTTGTATGTGGATATCCAGTTTTCCCAACATCATTTTTTTTTTTTTTTTGAGACAGTCTCACTTTGTTGCCTAGGCTAGAGTGAGTGCCGTGGCGTCAGCCTAGCTCACAGCAACCTCAGACTCCTGGGCTCAAGCGATCCTTCTGTCTCAGCCTCCCAAGTAGCTGGGACTACAGGCATGCGCCACCATGCCCGGCTAATTTTTTCTATATATATTAGTTGGCCAATTAGTTTCTTTCTATTTATAGTAGAGACGGGGTCTCGCTCTTGCTCAGGCTGGTTTTGAACTCCCGACCTCGAGCAATCCGCCCGCCTCGGCCTCCCAGAGAGCTAGGATTACAGGCGTGAGCCACCGCGCCCGGCCCCAACATCATTTATTGAAGAGACTGTCTTTTGCTCAATGTGTGTTTTGAGCACCTTTGTCAAAAATCACTTGGCTGGCCAGGCGCGGTGGCTCACGCCTATAATCCTAGCATTCTGGGAGGCTGAGGCGGGAGGATTGCTCAAGGTCAGGAGTTCAAGACCAGCCTGAGCAAGAGTGAGACCTCCATCTCTACTAAAAATATAGAAAGAAATTAATTGGCCAACCAAAAATATATAGAAAAAATTAGCCGGGCATGGTGTCGCATGCCTGTAGTCCCAGCTACTCAGGAGGCTGAGGCAATAGGATTGCTTGAGCCCAGGAGTTTGAGGTTGCTGTGAGCTAGGCTGACTGACGCCATGGCACTCACTCTGGCCTGGGCAACAGAGTGAGACTCTGTCTCAAAAAAAAAAAAAAAAAAATCAGTTGGCCATAGATTCATGAATTTATTTCTGAGTTCTCTATTCCGTTTCACTGGTCTGTGTGTTTATTTTTATGCCAATCCCATGCTGTTTTGGTTACAGCATGTAGTATATTTTGTAGTATATTTTGAAGACAGGTAGTATAATACCTCCAGCTGTTTTTGTTTGTTTGTTTGTTTTGTTTTTGAGAAAGGGTCTCACTCTGTCACCCCAGCTAGAGTGCAGTGGTGTCACCATAGCTCACTGGGCTCAAGCAATCCTCCTGCCTCAGTCTCCCAACTAGCTGGGACTACAGGCTTGAGCCACCAAACCCAGCAAATTTTTGTATTTTCTGTAGAGACAGGGTCTTGCTCTTGCTCAGGTTGGTCTCGAACTCCTAACCTCAAGTGACACAATTTACAAAGTGGGAAACTGAGTCTCACAGAGAGAAAGAAACTTGCTTGATGTCCAGTCCTCATGAAGAGAAACGTCAAGCTCTCTGGGGCTGTGCGCTTCTGCTCCTGTGCCCACCTGAGTCCCCCGGGGAACATTTTTCACCATCCGCCCCATCTTGCTGATATGCCCTGGCAGAGGGACTGGGGAAGGGTGGGAGGACAGACTAAAACAGACACCGTGGAGAGAGCTCTCTGTAGGGTTCTAACACAACCCACCATCTGGCCCTTCACATTCCAGGGAAGGTTATGCTGAGAGCTGAGATAATGACGTTTTTTACCCTAACGAATTCACATTTAGTATGTGTGCACAGGCTGTTTCGATGGAGGCTGAGGCCTCAGGGATCCAACAGAAGTGCAGAGCAGGTGGGGATAAGACAGAGAATCCCAAAGTGAAACCCTGTCTCTCAGTTCCATTCAAGTTGACAGTAAGCACTGGCCATGAGCAGAGCATGGTCAATGCCAAAGAGCAAGATAGGCATGGCACTTTGAAACAGCAGAAGACAGAAAGGGCAGCCTAGAGCCACCACTGCCCTCAGAGGCTACCGGGCCCCTCGCCCTTCACCTCCATGCTCAGGGCCCCTGATCCCAGCCTTGTGTTGGGGCTGCCACTCCATCCTCAAAGGGCTCCAGTTCAACTGAGTGGAGAGATGTGGGGATGACACAGGGGAAAAGGAAACTCTGGAGCCAGTGGGGCCCAGAAGAGGCACCATCAGCACGGACCAGGACAAGCTGGAACCCGAGCCCAAAGACTAAGCAGGAACATCTAAGAGACACATGAAGGCGGCAGGGCAGGGAGGAAGTGGCCTGCAAGGAGCACAGTACCCTGCACAAGAGAGCAGGCACAGAGACAAGGATGGCACTTGGGAGAACACCGTGCATGGCCCGAGACAAGGGCAGGCACGGGCAGAGGTGGCAAGTTTTCAGCTGGGCTCCTCCCTATCACCTTTCCTGGCTCATCTTCTGGCACAGCCCCTGTGCCATCCACGGCAGGGCAGCACACCACCTCCAAAATGATGGCAGGACGCAGGGCAGAGGACTTCTGTCAGGCCCCAGTCACCCTCTCACACGTGCCTCTCGGGGCTCCCTCAGCAGGAGACATGGTGACAAAGGAGAAATCCAGAAGGCTCACCTAAAGAGCCCGTGTGGTGAACTGGTAAGTGACGCTTTCAGTCACCCAGGAGTCCAGGATAGAACAGGGTCTTAGAGGACATCCAGGCTTGTCAACCCCCTTTCAGTAGAAGATGGAACCCCATGCCCAGTCATCTAACAGTTCTCAGAGACTTGAATTACTTCGGGAGAGCCCGGCACCAGGCAGGTGCTCGGCTACACATGTGCAACACAGAATGAGTGATTCTGTCAATTAAATGCTCCCCAGGCCAGGGTGATGCCAGCAGGGCACAGAGGCCTGCCTGATGCCCACCTTCTGCCCTTTGGCCACCTTTTTCTCCTTAGCACTTTTCACACCCATGCTGCAGGTCTTACTCACTGTTTCTTGTCTTTCCCTCCCTATAAGGAAGGCAGGGAGCGTTATCTGCTTAAGCAAGGACTCAGCACACAGGAGCTGCTCAGTAAATGTCATCCTATGGCCAACCAGTCTCAACTGTGACAACTAAAACATGAGCCCACATTAAGCAGAAACCTACAGGAGAGGTCTATGAAATGGAGGCCAGGACAGCCTGGGCAGTCTGCCCACCAGGGAAGGCTATGACATTTGCTCGATTCCTCACCCTGAGGACAGATAGCATAGTCACTTTGAAAAGTCAAGCAAGCCCTGACCTGTCACCAGTGTGTGACCGCACTCTCTGCTCCCAACCAGGGATGACAAGTCATGCTCCCACACCTGTGGGTTGCAGAGCCCACTCTCCTGTGGAACCTCCCCCTGAATGTGGGGAAGTAGCCAGGCCAGTCCCCAGGCCCCACGCCACCATGTACTGAACAAACGTTGAGCCTGATGGAGGAACTGAGGAATGCACCGCACACTGGTCTGTTTCATACCCTCAAATCCCTTCTGAAGAGGTGACTTTTGAGTGGAGAGACAGAGGGGTGTCGTGGCTCTGAGTTTCTCTGGATTCCCCATCTAGATGGCTGTCTTGACATTTAAAACCCTGTCATATTACTTTTAGTTACATTTGACCAGGTCTGGCTTCTCTGTACACAAGTGATCCTCCCTGACCCCAGGCTTGCCACCTAATGGCTGCCCTCTTTCCAAAATTTCTGTTCACCTGCCACCAGGCCCCAAAATCCAGGAGGGGTGAGGAGTGCAAGGCCCAGAGAACATTCCAAGGGCAGTGCAAGCTACAGAACACATACAGGGCTCTCCGTTGATTCACATCATCTTTTATTACACAAAATAAAATCCCATCTATGTTGAACATTCAACTTTCTATAAATCTGGCTTTAAAAAATCCCTAGAGGTACAGTCCCATCTGTTCTTTGACTTTCCTTGCAATGACATCATGCCTCAATTGCAGTCGGAGTCCTCTCAAAAGACAAAAGCAGACATGGCCGCCTCAGGTCAGCTGCACACAGTGTGTTCCCGGCCTGCCCGCTTGGAGGTGCGGCTCCCATTGTATTGTCATCTGGACCGTGGCTGCTGGGGACAGTCAAAGCGGCAGCATGTCATCGCCTTCACCAGCCCATCTCCAGCAGCACAAACAGTCCTCCCAGCTGGTCCTCTGGGGACCAGCTGTCACAGCGACGTGGTGGCACCATCCCCAGGCAGCTGACCATCCTGGGCTTCTCTTTGGGCAGGCCTGGGCCGGGGCTTTAGGGGAGCTCTGTGTCCATGGTATAAATCTGAATGAGATCAGACACAATATTATCAATGATTGGCTTGGTAAGGTCGTCACTAAACACCTAGAAAGGAGAAGGAAAACAGGTTCCAATTAGACTCCCTCTGCGTTAAACAAGGCACTGGTCACTAAGTGTAGAACTGCATTTCATGGGCAGAGGAGGGGACATGGGGACTTGGTTATCCAGGATGGTGGTGGCTTTCCTGCCAAGCCAGCTCAGTTCCAAAGACTTTTAGGCCAAAGACTTTTACAAAGCAGAGAACATTCCAGATGGAAGAGGCCTTGGTGATCATCTGACCCAGACAGGAGAGGGGACTTTTTCCAAGGTCACACAGGGAGTTGGTGACAGAGCTAGGCCCGAAGCACTGGCTCCTGCCTCCTGCCTGGGGCTTTCTCAGGTCCAGGGTCTCTGGAGATTTTGGCAAGGGAAGGTGGGAGTCCCACTTCTAGAAATAGGCAGGCCAAGTAACTTGGACCCCATACCCACCCTAGCCCAGCCCCAAGCAGCACGTAGACCTGCTCTACAGCCTAGACCAGTCATCTAGACCACAATCTGCAGGAGTGCTCATAAACTGTGAGGTAAGTCCTCAGGGGCCCAAACCAAGGGCGTGTCCAGCACAGGGCCAACCCACAGGCCTGGGGTTCTGACCTAGTCCTGGAGGATAATCTCTATGCCCCTGGAAAATCCTGCCTGATAAGTGTCTCAGTTTAGCAGGGGCCAAGGACCCTGCCAGGCAGTCTATACCAATGACATGATTTGTCGGGGCAGCCTGAGCCACATGGTATCAGTGGGACCTCCAGGTAGCTGGAGCCTGTGTAGCCAGGTCAGCCCCATGGGCGCTCCATGCCTACGTGACCCACCCCAGTACACACCCTGGACACCACAGCCCAGGGGGAGCATCCCTGTCTGGCGATACTCCACATGTGTTGTCACACATTTTTGCTCACACTTCACTGCTGGGAGAGTTAAGCACTGTCCATTCACCTCCCCGGGAGAGGACACCCGGAAGCTCTCGCCTGGCCTCTGCTGGACCCCGCCCTCCACACCTTGTACTTTGCTGATTTTAACCCGTGTCCTTTCGTTGCAATAAACTGTAACTGTGAGTGTGATAGCTTTTCTGAGTTCTGAGTCCTCCTAGCACATCACTGAGCCTGAGGGGACTCTTGGGGACACCCACAACAAGGGAAATAAAGAGCAAAGCAACAAGCCCTTGGTCAGATGCTGTAGCTGCCCTATGCCAGGAAGCTGATGCCTAGGGAACCAAGGGTAACAAGGTCAAGGCCTTGGGCTGAGCCAAAGCAAGAACCAGACCTAAGTCTACCCCTTCTGAACCTACTAAACAAATCTAGGTCCCTCCCTAGCCTACAACCTCAGGTGGGAGATGGGGACCTGGAAACCCTCCAAGCCCTGATTCAGGAACCATGGCCAGCTCACCCTGGGCTCTGGGTGAAAAACAAATATTTCAGAAATAAAGGCTTGCTCCTTGGGGCCCACTATCTGTGTGCTCCTGGAGACCCCAAGCTAAAAACAACCATTAAAAAGCATCCAGGGCCAAAAGGTGGAAGCGACCCAAGTGTCCATGGACAGAGGAGTAGATAAACAAAACCGTCTATGCAGACAATGGAACGTGACTCAGCCTTAAAAAGGAGGGAATTCTGACACAGGCTATAACATGGATGACCCTTGAGGACATTATGCTCAGTGAAGTAAGCCAGTCACAAAAGGACAAAAACTGTACAATTCCACTTCTGTGAGGTCCCTAGAGCAGTCCAGTCCCCAGAGACAGGCAGGGGAGTGGTGGGTGCCAGGGGCTGGGGAGGGGCACAGGGAGTCGGTGTTTCATAGGGACAGAGTTTGGGTTTGGGAAGATGAACAAGGTCTGTGGATGGAAGGTAGGGATGGCCGCATAACACCGTGAATGTGCTGAACACCACCAGGCTTAAATCTGAGCCTAAATATGGTAACACGGCACACTTTATGTTATGTGTACGTCAGAACAATTAAAAGGAATAGTCCATAGCAGCGGACGATCCTGGGACACCTGCCAGAAGGGACAAAGCCTCAAGCCCTAGGGGGAGACACTGTTGGCCTCTGGGACCAAGAGGGCCTGGAGGCTTAACTCAGCTGGTTTGGGGACATCAACTTCTGTCTGTAGGACAAAGAGTAGCAGTGGCTGGAAATAAGCAAGTTCTCCCTATTTTCAGGAAGAAGGGTACAGAGGGCACCCAGTGCATAGCTCTGGGTGTGGAAATTCCTGCAACACTGCATAGTGACCTGCAGCTCTTTTGATCCTGCTGCCACCCCTGTTCCTCTCGCCAGTCAGGGTCAGTACCTCATGTACCCAGAGGCTGGCACACAGCCTCAGCATGTGTGACGAGAGTGCAGGCAGGGTTCTGACAACATACCAAGCTCTCATGCTGAGTGCAGCAGACTAGTGACAATACAGGCAGTTGCTACAAGAAGTGGTGGCCGCAAGCACACAAGGAGAGCATATCAAAAGGCAGGCACAGCCTCGCCGCAAGCCACTCCTGCAGGCCTCTGGCCCTCATGCCTCACCAGCCTACGGGTGTGCCCGGATTCTGGAAGGGCCCCAAGCATCCCAAAGAAGTGAAGTTCGGTTTGACAGGCTTTAAGAAGAGCTGTGTGAACGCATATTTGCAACTTTTCCCAATTTGAGAATTACTGGGTTAGTTTGTGCTGCCCAGAAAGCAACCTCCTGATGGAGCTGCTTCTGGGCTGCGCAGGGCCAGTTAGGCTGGCACTCCTCTTCAGATGGCTGAGTACGAGACGGAGAGGTGGCACTGGCACGCAAGTGAGACTCAGGTGCAAGTGAAGGAAGACAGAGGAGAAGGAAGAGGTGGAGGAGCAAGCACAATGGGAAACGAGTGACAACACTGCAGATCCAAGCAGCTGAGGGTTGGGACAGCCTCACCCACCAGATGTCCTCAGCGAGTGTCTACCACCACCAGATTCCAACCATGCAAGGACACTGCAGCCACGTTATCTGAAAGTCCCTGAGAAGCCCAAGCACGGAACAATACTGTCTGTCCACACAGATGCTCTTTCACCCTAACGCTGTGTGGTAGAGGCTACGTCTGGCCTGAGATCAGGACTACGGATGCATGTATTCAAGGCCACACAAGTACCTACTATATGCCATGTCTAGGCATAAGAGATGTAGCTGTATATAGCACAGACAAGATCCCTGGCCTTGGTTGCTTATAGTCAGGTAGAGTGCAGGATTAGACAGACAATAAACCAGCAAAATCTGTGGTCTTCCACAGAGGGCAAGCAGGCCAGGGATGAGAGTAGCAGAAAAGGGTAGCCTCTGTGCACAGCAGCGCCCACCACCCACACAGCTCTCCCTGTGGACAGAGTCCTACAAACCACATTTCAGTTTCAGTAGGTCTGAGTGAGGCAAGAACTCACCAGTCACCTGTCTTATCTACCCATCTACCTGCTAGATCTACCTGCCATCCACCCGCCTAGCTACTATCTATCTATCCACCTCGTCTCTCTACCTTATCTGCCAACGTCCATCCATCTCAGCTGTCCACCCAGCTATCTGTCACCTGCCTATCTAGCCATCCACCTATGTAGTTCTGCCATCCGCCTGCCTGCCTGCCCCCCAGCCTTGTCACATGTCATCCTCGCCAAGTTCCCACTCAATCTAGCATAAGTGCCTGACACTCCTGGCTTAGCTCAGCGGTTCTCAACTGGGCCAAGCCCTGCACCAGGACATCTGGCAATGTGTGGGTGGAGGCCAGGGCTGCTGCTCGACATCTGACAGCCCCCACCACAAGCAGTGATCTGACTCCCAGTGGCAGCTGTGCTAAGGGGAGGGCCCTGCCACAGACTCTCCTAACAGGGCATTTTCAAGCTTCAAGATTCCTAAGTAGCCCATACTTTTCTTGACAGATAATTAATAAAAAGAAACTGGTCCCCAGTTGCAGGGACCTCTAAAAGGAAAGGGGCACAGTCCAGAGCACCGAGCGGTCACCTCACCTGCCACCATGGCTTCTCGGCCTCGGCCTCAGCGGGCACCTCGACTCCATAGACCTGCAGGGCCAGGAAGAGCACTGCCACAGCTATGTGCTGAGCCCGGAAGTGGAGGCACAGGCCCCCGTGGTAACTGTCCCGCAGCAGGGCCCAGGCAGTGACGGCAATGGGGATCCGCTGCCAGCTGTAACGGTTCAGCCAGTTCTTGAGGGAAAGTAGGTAGTGGAGCAGGTACTGCAAAGACATGCACGTCAGCCAGTCTGCCTTCGCGCTCATTGCCATGCTGCTGTCCCCTCACCCACCAGCTACTGTCTCCACACTGTCACAATCATGTCACCACCCTTTCAAACCCTCCAATGGTTTCCAGGTCACTTAGGAAAATGTACCAATGCGTTCTGCTGGCCCTGTCTCCCAAGGCCCTCACCCCACCCTGCAGCCATGTGTGAACACACCGCCCCCGCTAGGCCTGTGCACTCACTAAGACCTCTGCCTGACACACCTGCCCACTCCCAGCCTCCAGGTCCAGCTCCAGGCAAACCCTCTTCATCACAGGGCCCTGCCTGGCCACTGTGGGAAATCATGCAGGGCCTGATGCTCCAGAGAGCAGTGCCTTCATCTGCAGAGCCCCATGTGCCCAGCCTGCTGCCAAGGCTATTTGCTTTCAGGAAGACTAGAAACTGGTCACTGCACTTTCCCAGTTAGTGCCAAGAGCCTACAGTAGTATCATCCTTGGCTATAACATCTTAATGACCCTCCAGCCTAGCTGTCAGTTCCTGTTCTCAGAACACAGACGCTCTGCCCAAACCTCATGTGACACAGAAAGACCAGTGCACTCCCTGGACAGTCTTGAACACACATGTGCACATGTGACCCTAGCGTGCCAGAGAGGAAGGATTCATCCATCACTCTCTATTCCATCCTTAGACCCTGCCCCTGACTAGGCAAGGGGGAGGGCCAGCAGGCTCCCAG